ATAAACATGGACAGACAGACAGACAAAATCTCTAAATATTATTATTTTGGCTTCCATTGCTCTTATTAAGACCGTTCTTATAATTATTTTTTTCTTAAGGATATCCCATGTACAGACTTTATCTAGTTACAATTTTATAATATTAGTAAGATAAGACTGAAGACCATGTAAATTTGATGGTATTGCCCAGTTTTGTTTTTATATTTAATTGAATTTTGTAATAAATTTAATTTATTATATTAGTTACATTATGACATTTATATGCATGTAATCTGTAGTCAATGTCTGCTATAGGTATGCATATCAGCACGCTACACAAAAAAATGTTATTTAATTTATATATAATATGTATACTGTTGGAGTGCATAATTCGAAATAAATAAAATAAGATGAGACCCTAACATTTAAAAATATATATATATATATATCAGATAAAACTAAACTCTACCTTTAAAAAAAAAAATTAAAATCGTTACAGAAATGGCGAAGATATTATATGATATCATATACTATTGTAATAGTATTTATTGTATTATATTTTCTTTATAAATGCACCGCCTCCTTATTTTTTTTATTTATCCTAATGTTAACTGATAGAGAATACCTTTAGTTGTTACATTTCCCATAATTATGTACCCGCATTTATATATTTAAATTTTGAATAATTATTAAACAATTACAATCCTTTCAGTTGTTGTTTTTAAAATAGAATAATGTTTAGTTTTCACTGTACAAGCTCTAATTTATCAAAATTATTCAGCAGGCAGTAGCCATCTATGATTCAGCACCCATTACATGATAGGCTTACTGAAGCGACGGCATTAAATTGTCAAGGCCGTGTTTTACTGCCAAATTTATTACTTCCCGAAGCTTTATCTTAACACTGTAACTATATAACTAGTAAGTAGTAATCTTTACGAGATTCAGACTTGCAAAGTGTGGAACTTGATAATTTTTTACCGACATTAAAAAAATCAAGAAGGTTATCAATTTATCGTGTATGTTTAATTTATGACAGTACCCATCCATATAAACTGTCTGAACATGAAAAGTACTTTTTATTTATTTTAGTATTTGTACAAAGCGAACTTAATGCTATAGTTATTCTGTCCCAGTCAACCTTAGGGACGTGTTAAAATGTTCGAATGCAATATTAAACTGCTCACTTTTATACTGCTTGGTATAAAAGTAAACATAAACTTTTCTTTAAATGACAGTTTAGACGAAAATCTCTTAATGGTATCAAGGAGCGCGTTCCAGAGCCTTGAAAACTGTAAAACAAAATAGTCTGATACAAAATCAGTACGGTGAGAGAAGATAGAGACTTGCAAGTGTACTATAGGAATTTACGTTACGATCGTGAGAGTTTGAAAAAGATATAACATTTGGAAAAAATATGGCATCCACCCATTAATATCGAGCAAGCCTAATTGTTTATGACTTCAAAAAAAAATTCTATGTATATCTTCACGCTAGATTTCATACATTACGATATAAATAAAGAGAACTCTAATCAGCCTCTCTAAACAAAGTAAAAAAAAAGTATAAAAAATCTTTATTACTATATAATTGTGATTAGAACAGAGTTCGTCTCAAATATTTCGTCTACCAGAAGGAGACTGTTGCCTGCTTAAGTACCACTGTCCCATTCGTATTTCTGCCGTAAAGTAGTTAGCATGTTTCAGTTTAAAGAGTGGGATATGTCATTAAAATTACAAGGTACAGAGACACAACACCTGAGTCGTCAGAAATGGTAATGAATGAGCGGTATCATGGGTGACACAGTAAACTCTATAATTACCATGCTAAGTTGCATGAAAAAAAATCATCATAGCATATTTGTCTAGGACATAATACATGCATTGAAAGATAATAATTTGTCAAATAATTTAACATTTGTTGTTGCCAAGTACGTTTACATGGTCAATAACATATTGGAGACCGACGATATTAAATTTATCATCAATCCGAGCGGATTTATTGCATGGAATAAAATTATTTTATGATCTTTGGCTCCTTCAGCGTCGTGGACGGCCGCAGTTTACTTTCCGCGTCAGAGATGGTCATTAACACTAAGTACTTCAATATTCCCTTTGATTTTTGATTCAATATTTTATGCAACTTAGAATAGCAACCAAGCTGACGGTCCACTTGATGGAAAGTGGTAACCGTCGCCTATAGACATAAACAGTACCATGTACATAACAGAGTATGCTGTTAGCTTGTGATAAATTTTGTCACCCTTTGAAGTTCAAGACTCAACATTCGTGGTGATGTAGGCCCAATCTCATTATGAAGATATTATTGTATTTGACATAAAAATGGCAAAGCAATTAGTGTACTCAGGACCGCATTTAGCAACTTTTCTGCTCCGGGCATGAATCATATTCGCTGCCCTTTCTAACGCTCTCAATATTACCGCTCTACATTTGCCCTTGGTCCCCTAGATCGGGCCCTGAGCGAAAGTTGTCTAATCTCCAACTAATGTGAATTATGCAATTGTAATTAACGCAATGAGTCGGTAATTGTTAAAATAAAAAAAAAATATTATATGGACTTAGGCAATGTGTTACATAAGAAGGTAGTTTAAGATTAGTTTTTTTTTTTAAGGAAATATTATTTTGATGGCGTGCATGTGAGAGCGAGGTTGCGCCCCTGGATGGCATCTGTTATCGTAGATTTTAAACTGTAGGTATTTTTTTATATACTACTAAAGCGGCAAAAAAATATACAGCCCACCTAATGGTAAGCGATTACCGTAACCTATGAACGCCTGCAATACCAGGGGCATTACGCGCGCGTTGCCGACCTTGAAGAAACCTCTTTATATCTTTTCTAAAGATCCCCATACTGTAATCTCTTGGAAAAACCTCGGCAGGGACTCTGCAGGTATTAATATCACTTATCTGGACAAACAGTCTAATAATATCATCTCATATCATAAAAAAAATCACGTCTGAGCAGTAATCGAATATTAACTTAATTTTATCTAACTACCGAACTCCCATTACTTGCTTATTGTGTCAAATTATTATTGCTACATTAATTCTCAACAAAAGCATTCCATCTTGTGGATTAAAATAAAAAAAAAAAACACTCAATAAGATGTCATTGTTTTTTTTTTTAAACTTAGAATAGCAAATAAGAGACAAAGGTAACTATAGACGTATTATAAACTAATATGACCGTTTAAATACCCTACATATCCTTAAACGACAAGGGCGTAAGCAAGTTCGTTTAGGCCTTAAACGAGTTACAAATGCAGTAATTAATCAATGAAAATGAAAACAAAAATAATATGTAAAGTCGTGTATTACGAAGCTGTTTTGTTTATGCGGACTGTGATTGGTAGGGCGTTTATCTGTTTATGTATTCAGTCGCGTTCCATTTTACGATTGTAGTAGTTTTATAGCCGCTGACTATAAAACAGAGAGATTGCGATCTCAACGCCGCCGCCTCGTGAGCTCGCGGCCCGTGAGTCAAGCATTTCTGACCTAGAGAATCACAATTGATACCGGCCGCTTCCTTATTGGACGTTGCATCACACATCATCACAATTGTATAGATTGCTGTCAAGTTGTACGCGTTGAATTGATTTTCTACCGTACCCATCAATTAAGCTTACTGTTACAGAAGATATCTTCTTTTCATTTAAGAGTTTCCTCTTGTCTGTGCAACTAATTCATGCATCTTCTTCCATCCAGTCCTATCCCAGGCCATATCCTTTATCTCCCTATACGACATGACGCCTAGTGTTTCCTTTATCTGTCCCATGTAGTTATTCCTCGGTCTTCCTCTTCCTCTTTTGCCCTCTATTTGTCCTTCTGCGTTGTCCTGATTGCGTGGAAGAGATGGTTGGTGGATGGTTTTTAGCAACAAGGCTGCCCATTGTTTTCTATATATATATATATAGATATATATATCGGTTATAGGGTTCGATTGTTTCTGGCGCCCCTTCTGTGTGGCTGGCCTGAGATATCTGTTTGTCTTTATTTATTTATATATATATATATATATATATATATATATATACTTAATGCTAAAAGCATTCTCTCCCAGTCAACCATTGGGAAGAAGTGTCAGAATACTCGAATGCGATACTAGTAATTATTAATATACATATATACTAAAATTTACATATATAAACAAATAGATATGTATAAATAACAAGAATAACAAATAATAATTTAATTTTTTTTTTTTATTCTTAAATTATTTTATTATTTTTTACTGCTTACCTAATGAGGTACACACGCCTGTCATTTGAGAGTCATGATAATATGCAGACATGCTTTTATTATTTATATTACAATAAACCATAATTATACTTAATAAATAATAATATAAAACATATAGCCAACCGAAGGTTATATTTTATTATAATTATTATGAAAACACCTGTTCTATTCGACAATTTTATTTTTATATAAAATATATTGTATAATGTATGAACGAATTGTAGTGTTAATTAATTCTGAACAATATATAATTTGACGTGTGGTCCCGGCATAGAATGGGGTGTATGCCGGGACCACACGTCAACCTTCCCTTTCCATGGGTGTCGTATGAAGTCTTATTTTATGCAACATAGAATGGCAAACAAGCTGACGGCTCACTTGATGGTATCACCTAACCACCTGATCGCCTATAGACATGAATAGTACCGTGGACATAACAGAGTATACTGTTTCATTGTTTGTTCATGCGCATTCGAATGGCATTTCCTGAGAACTCAGGTGTTATGCCTCTGTACCCTGTAAATTCACTGCCATATCTCACCCTTCAAACCGAAACACAGCCATGCAAACACAATTACTTCACGATAGAAACACGAATGGGACAGAGGTATCCAAGCAATCGACTTTTGTACAAAGTCTCCCTCTGGTGTAATAGGTACACAAAACACGGTGTAACATAGATAAACATTTGAAAAAAAATGGTCGACCTTCACGTGGACTATAAAATTTGATGACTAATTTTTATTCTCTGTTTGTTGACAGGCATGAAAATGACTATATCCACAACGGCTACCATGACGGCCCGTGTCCACAGGAAAGTGATGAGGGCGCCGCATAAACGCGCGCACCCCGGCAAAACGGAGCACCCCGGCAAAATGGTGCACACAGGCAAAATGCACCATCCGGGCAAAATGCATCACCCGGGCAAGCTCGTTCACTCCGGCAAAATTGCACAATTAGGCAAATTCGGCAAACTGACCCACTACACACAGACACACCCGCTGCGACCGCCCGAGCCTTGCGAGAACAGTAATGACAGTGGACTGGGCCCAGACCCCATAAACAGGTAAGCAAATGCATGAACTTAACGGACATCCGTCATTGGGGGGACAGGGGTTGAGATCCAACAGACCCATTACTAGCAATGTACCCTACCAGGTCGACCTCCACGCAGTTCCCCCTGGAAACCATCGTGGTTAATTCCTGATGAATTCATCATGATGGGCTACCAGTCTCATTGCTACCAATATGTAGCAATGAGACTGGTAGGTAGTAGGTAGGTAGTATATCCTGTTTTTTTTAAAGAACGATAATGGAATGGTAACCCCGCTTGCGCTATCGGTATACACTGAAATGGCACCAGTGAGGGTGATAGGTGAGGATGAAGCAGGTCAGTTAGCCCACACTGACGAATCTAACGATAAATCAATCACGATGGTTTCCAGGGCGAACCTCGAGGAGGTCGACCTGATATTGCTAGCAATGGAGCTACTAATCCCCATTACAAACAATCCCTTCTCCCCCCAATATATTTATTTATTTACACTTTATTGCACCAAGTAGAAAGAGAAATAACAAATGCAGTAAATATTAATGAGAAGTGATTCAAAAGGCGGCCTTATCGCTAAGCAATCTCTTCCAGACGACCTTTGGGTAGAGGACATTGAGAAAAAGACAAAAAATACCCTGTTAGGTCAACCTCCCCATGGTCCCCTCCAGAAACCATCGTGTTGAATTTCACGTGTATTCATCACGATGGGCTAACTGACCTGCCTTTTCATTCTCACCTATCATCCCGCGCTGGTCCCCCGCCAGAGTATACCGTTAACACAGGCGGAGGGATTACCATTCCATTATGGGTGATTAAGAAAAAAATCTCTAATTACTTTTTAATATAACTTAAGTTTTTAATTTGTTCATTAATCATAAACCAATTTAACTTGTTCATCCGGGTTTAGACGTTTGTATTATACAAAAGGATCGTAATATTTATAAGATAACATTTTTTTTCCTTGATTATTAGAAAAAAAATTAACACAATGAATAACCATAATGGTTTTTCAAAGAATTCCAATATTAAAATAAAAAAAAAAACAAATATTATGTGTAACATTGTTAAATAATTTATTAATCATAAATCTAATCTAATAACACTAAAACAATGATTAGTTATGCCCTCATAATTTTCTGTTTTTTTTTTTTTTTTATACAACTTAGAATGGCAAACAAGCTGACGGCCCACCTGATGGAAAGTGGTAACCGTCGCCTATACACATGAGCAGTACTATGGACATAACAGAGTATACTGTTTCGCCCATGATACCCACCATGCGTTGCCATTCCTGAGGACACAGATGTTACTCCTCTGTACCCTGTAACCAAAATACGCTTTTTCATCCAATAGATTGTTATTTTTACTTTTACTTCACGCTTATTATTTTTTTTAAACGTAACTTGACGTATCTATATGTTTTTAAGTTTCATTAACCATTTTTTTCACATAATTTTTTTGATTGTAATCACTCTACAGCCTGTATATAATAGTTTATTAAATGTAATAAAATGAACACCGCAGAAAACTGCTGCAATTTTAACGCTTTACGCTTTACTGTTAAATAAAAATTGTTACATCTTGACAACCGAACAGATGGCTCAACTGATAAAAAGTGGTAACCGCCGTCAATAACATGGACAATTATTTATTTATCTTGTAATAATTTTTGCCTGTTACATACATACACATTCATATGCTCTTAATTTTAATCCTTAATGGCGTAATCAAAGCCATAATCTCGCTAATATTTATTTCTACAAAAAATATAATTACCAATTATGTTTATAATCGTCAGATTTGTGCTGTACAAATGTACTGATTAGGGGGGAAAGGGATTGTTAGTAATGGAGACAGAAACCCATTGCTAGCAATATACCCAACCAGGTCGACCTCCTCGCGGTTCTCCCTGGAAACTATCATGGTTAATTCCTGATGAATTCATCATGATGGGCTAACTGGCCTGTTTTCATTCTCATCTATCACCCTTCACTGGTGCTCCGCCAGCGTATCCCGTTAGCGCAGGTGGGGTTACCATACCATTTTCACCCATTAAAAAAAAAAAAATGTACTGATTCGTCTTCAAATCTGTAAAACTTGTATTTTTTTTTTATGGCTTTAATATCATTTTAATACGATTCAGCCGCATTTAAACCTTACAAAATTTGGATTTTCCAACAATACAAAACAATAGGTATTTTGATGGCGAATCAAAAAATATTCCCGAAGCTTGTTATTTCACAATCGCAATAGTATTATAATCTATGATTATTGTAATTGCTAATGTGCACATGATCGCAAGGTGCGCACGCGCATGCTCCGCGCTCGTATCTTGGACGTCACCAGCATCATTCCTCTCCCACGTCATGTTACACGTGCCGTCAAAGCTGCCTGTATATTATTTGTATCAATTAACACACAACTATGATTCTATACGAATTAGGAATTACTAGTTATTGTTTATGTGTTTTAATTTACTTTTTATCATAAATAAATAAACATTCTACCATGAGAGTGTAGCTAAATATCTATGCTGGAAAAACAAGACTGTATTAAGCACCATATTGCTCGATATTGAGTTAAATATACCATTGAATTCAGTTTATCAGTGTTGAATTATACCAGTATATTTAATAAATGTGTACTCAATTATTGTAATACTACTATTAGAGGATTCGATCTCGGGATCCCGAAACCGGGATCCCGACTAACTACTATACACAGACACAATTATTCATATGAAATTATATAGTTCAGTAGCCAGCAAGCACAATGATTAATAAACAGGGGAATCTAGTGTTAAATAAATTAATCAGGGCAGTTAATCACGATTAAGTCAAATCACACAATGGCTAAACATAGAAATTTCTTTAGTAACTCTACAACTTTTGCTTGTTTCCTATTTTGTATTGATATTAAAACTTGACAAAAATACAAAGATGTGATATTAACTGTTTTATCGTGTTGTAAGATCACATCACTAGTGTATATGGGACAACACTAGAGGTGGACACTAGAAGTGTGTAATAATGGCTGTCTAAGTAATGAATAAATGATCTGCAATAATTAAATAAACCATCTATTATTAAAAGACTATAAAAATATAACATACCGTACTATATATTTACTAAAATACCTATTAACACTGTTTTTTTTTCTTTTTGTTTCGTTTTTATGCTCTCCTGTAAAAACTGCTAAATGGTACTTAATACATTTTGCTTTTGCAGCGTCTGTATACTATATAGTCTCGTTGGTGCGACCTTCGCGTTTGTTTACTTTACTGTAAGCGCATTACGCAGCCACTGCTTATGTTGTGAGTGACTTACAATCTGGCCGATCTTCGAACCTGCGCGTGCGCGTACACGCGTTATAAACAACGTCATTTGCAAATATTTAATGAGTGCTCTCGGAACTAACGGCTTTACTTCGCTAATGTATAGTATAAGACATAGTAGTTAGATAGAAAGTATGTCCTTGAAGCTTAAGGACATTGATTTTTATGAAGCTAGGGGATTTAATAGTTTGTATTACTTCCTCGTGCTTCCATTCCTGCGGTTACGCGGTTTGGCATGCAGTATACAAAGATTCTTATACGATTTTGGTAAATACCCTCCCATTTCTCTGTGAGAGCAATTTTGAGGTCACGAAGCGTGATTGGGGGAAGGGTTTCGTTGTTTTACGCATCTCTCTAGCTCTGCCCATGCATGCTCGATCAGGTTGTTATCCGGGCTGCGTGCTAGCCACTCCATACGAGTAATGTTCATCTCTTGTAGGTAGTCATTCACCATTACAACATTAGGGATCAAGGGGGGCGCCAGCTGAGCAAACGCCCGGAAACCGCAACGAAAAGAGTTCATTCTGAATTAATCATTCGTTCATAAAAGGCGAGATTTTTTTAAATAAGTACAGTATGGACACTCCCTGCCGCTCGCTGTGATCTGACCTCACCCCCTCTCAAACACGCGTCAGCACCCAAACTATTTTCCCGCGCTAATCGACGCACACATATTCACATTATTCACATGTATAGAAGTTAATTGTTTCTGTAATTGTGATAAGCACGAATCGCAGCAATTTTTTATGAAGTGTTGTATTACTAAAAAAAGATGGATCTGTGAAAGATTATGAATTATGAAGAAAAATAAGTTCGGATAGGACCTCATGACTACTACTGTACTATTTCTTGATGCTAATTGTAAACATACCAGAGGCTGGACAAAAGTCGTTTACTCAGGCACCTCTGTCCCGTTCGTGTTTCTACCGTGAAACAGTTATGTTTCGGTTTGAAAGGTGAATTTGAATTTGAATTCATTTATTTGCTGGAATAAGGTACATTTTCATAAGTATTGCCACACTATAGGCGTGCAAATATTAAAACTTATTATACAAAAATTATTTCATCATAATAACACATACATATTACTATAATTTTTGTCACTTTTTGTACATTTATATACAACTTATCTAGTCATGTCAATTCATTATAATATAAATTCATTAAAATATATACAATTATAAAGGCTGCAACAAAGTAAAGACATATCTAATTATCATTTATATATTTTTTTATCATTTATGAGTAAGAACTCATTTACTCATTTAACCAGAAATAGCTTAAAGAGCATTTTTTTTTTAAATAGAATAAATTATTACATTTCCTGATACTTTCAGGCAGATTTATAAATATATCCGTATTACCATGCAGTAAGCGTTAGTACTCAATACATTTAGTAGTTGTATAGGTACACATAATTTATTTTTATGTCTGTTACTGTTACCTGTTACTTTCACCTTTAAATTATTCTCATCTAGCCATTTTACCACAGTTAAAAGCATATTATTAAGTTCATTTTCAAATTTAGATTTGTTTTTATTGGCATCTTTCACTATAACAGTAATGTCATCAGCAACTAAAATACAATTCTGATTAATGACTGTAGGCAAGTCATTTATGTATAACAAAAATAACAATGGACCTAAGACACTCCCCTGCGGTACTCCCGAAACATTCCAGCAATATCGAGAGTGATAAATTTTGTTGAGATTAAACTTGTTAATATTGAATATTTCAACGCATTGCTTACGGTTACAGAGATAGCTAGAAATCCAGTCACGGGCTTTTCCTCGAATTCCGTAGCTTTGTAATTTTTTAAATAATATTTTATGGGATACACAGTCAAATGCTTTACTCATATCTAAAAATATGGATACTATTTTCTTACCAGCATTAATTTCAGTTATGCTTTCAATAAGATTAAAACAAGCTAATGTTATAAAATTACCTTTTCTGAATCCAAATTGGTAATTAGATAGTAAATCGAATTTATTAACACAACTATTTATTCTATCTGACATAAATATTTCAAATATTTTAGAAATGACAGGGCCAAGAGTTATGGGTCTATAATCATTAATATCTAGTAAAGCGGTTTAACAATAGATTTCTTGAGACGATTCGGAAAAATACCTTGCAAAAATGTAAAATTAATAATGTGACAGGAAGGACTGAAAAGAACGTACAATCAAATGATTGTACGTTCTTAGATGAGTGGTGGGATTGAACTTTAACTTTTTTCGGAATAATCAATGCCTCAATACATAGATGTTTATAACGGCCCATCTTTGATTCCATTTCTATTTAATTATTTTTTTGTAATTTATAGTTTTCACTATGTACATTTTCTATTTCGTTGTCAGAACATAGTAATTTTTCTTTTAATTTCGAATTCACAAATTGTAATTCCTGAATTTTTAATTGTTCGAATCGCATTGATATATCTGGTAGACTGAACTATCTAATTCTGATTTATTGAAATGAAATGAAATGAAATTCTTTATCTATATCTAAAGAGTTAGGAAATAATTAAATTCTTTGTGGTTTTCTTATTATTATGTAGTTTTCGTCATAGTAAGTCTGTGCTGGAGAAGATATATTTGAAATATAGCCATTTTCATTCAATAGTTTTGTTGATGATATTGTCATGTTCCCAATGTTTTTCTGTCGAAGTATTATCATTGTGTATTTATATAATTGCCAATTGACGACCTCTATTGATGACAGCAATAGGTATCTATCTACCTTTGTTATTATAGTTGTCTAAATTTTCAAATTTGTAACGATACTCGTGGATTAATTTCAGAATTTTAATGACCACAATCACAAACAGTATTGTGGTTTTAGTCCACGTCTAATTTATTATTCTTTAATTATTTACAAAATATCACATAAAATACAAGATACTTTTAATTTACTTATTTGATCATCGTTGTGTGAAACCGCCAAGGGCAAGAGCACGCATACCATAAGACTAGCAATGTCTGAGTTACGTCGTAAAAAAGAAAATATACTATTTTGAAATAGGGCCAACTTTGGAATTATAAAAACATTAAAAAATATTTAAAAATCGAACACTTTTGATTGAACTTTAACATGTAGTATGTAATACAGACATCACCAGTTTTATGAAAAACTTCGATGACTGGAACATTTATGAAGTTCATTATAAATTGTACCTAGTCATTGAATGTCACTTAAAGATTTGCTTTGATATTTTTACATATTTCATATTTATTCTAACACATTTTTTATATAAATTGTCACGACATAATTAACACATTGAAATGTACTATCGATAATTTTTTTTTAAACATACCCAGGAGGGGGCAATATTTAAAGTAATTTACGTAAACATACAGTTGAATTGTACAAACAAAATGTCTGAATTCCAACGTCCATATTTGGCGCCCGTCAGTCTCGGCCGCTGAGCCGTCGGGCCCGACTGTTTATTGTTCTTTACATAGCAATTGTTAAAGCTAAGTCTCTAGTGTTAGAGTAGATTAAAACGCTGTCATTGTACAACGTTAGCACTTCATTCATGGCTTTCTCTATACATTCAAAGGAGAGGAGAGTGTGTCCAAATATTAAAGCAACTATAAAGGGTACATTATAAAATACATATTAAATAAAACAAAATGATAATTCATCAAGATACTTCTTTCAGTCAAAATATAAAATATTTTTTTTTTACTTTTAATTTAAATTTAACAGTCATTAAAAATTACATTGTGTAGTTTAATTATATATTTATTCGTTTACTTTTATATAGTATTTATGCATTTTTCATATGTAAATATATTTTTGTCCTAATTGTCTTGTCATTCTGTTGAAATCACATCTTTACCACCCGCCCTCTCCTATCTGTTCTCCTTTAATCAAAGGTTATCTTTAAACCATTGTCCTGACGATAAGACGTGAAGATTTTGCCATTTTTAAAATATCTAATTTTATATTCTATTTTACATTCATTTAATTTATATTTTTAGTATATACTATTATATTTAAAATTCTGGTTAATATATGAAGGGTCATCATACGACTGTAACATGGGAGATATTGTTTAATTCGACAAATAAGAAAATTATTTTCTGGCCGATACACCCTTTCCGATTAACTCTGTATAAAGCTGTTATTATTATCGTTAAACTGTTATTACATTCAAAATTAATACATGTATATGCATAAATAATTATGCATATGAACATATTAAAACTCATCTATGGCATGTGTACAGATTGTCGGACTCGGTGGAGGAATGGGAGCGCCCAGATACGAAACGGAGGTATGGCGAGAGCGAGACGGCAGTAAAGATAGAGTGCGACGACGCTAACGATGCGTACGCGTTGCCGACGCCGTCCGCGCCCGTCACCGCCCCCGCGTGCGCTCCACACACACTCGATGGCCCGCTGACACTCGCGCCTACTCCGATCCTGCCCCATCCTGTGTATGTTAATGCACTTTTACTCTCAAATCGAATTGTTTCGTTTAAATTTAGTTGTTCCTCCTTTCTTGTCAATATTTTTTTTGAAGTCAACTCCCTTACTCCATCCAAACGTATGGCGTACCTATCGTATATATATTTTTTTAATTTGAATTTAGAATCACATAAACGTATCCCTAATATTTTTTTTTTATTTATTTATACTTTTGCACACATTGAAAAATGTCTACAGGGCGGACTTAATGCCTCAAATATTAGCTGATCACTTAACATTGTCGTTCTAAAATAGCTACACTATCATTTTTTCTTATAATAAATTAAGTCTAAGTTCAATATGGGCAGTAAACATTGATTTACTTGTAGATTGGCTAGTCTTACACCAAAAAAATTGAAAACTAGCCCCGTACTGTTAATAAACTTTATGACAATGTTGTAGTGAGTCAATACACATGTCACCATGTTGGTTTGTGTTCATATATATTTATACGCAAACAAAATAATGTATAAAGCTGAATTTTCACTGAGCCGCACGCACAGCGTACATTCTCCTGCCATGTTCGCCGAACAAGTAATCGCATTGCTGTTTTATAACAAAGTGCCATCTGATAAAATAAACGTCATTAATAGCTTCGCATGTGGTCTCTTTATTTTGTAGTCAATCTATAAATAAAACGTTTGCTCTTTCTCAGCTCGTTCACCAAAGTAGTTACATACACTTAAGTGCTAAATATTATATCGTGCCGTAAATATAAATGTACTTATTTTTGCTAAAACTTATGCTTATAAGTAAATATTAAATTTTAATAAAAAATATTTCATTATTACTATTTAATGTAGTAATATTTCTTTAGAAATATATTTAAAATTAAAATATATATATAAACAATATATGAAATTTTATAATTTTAATAAAGTGAATAATTCGTCATAGTACTTCTAACTCAAACTTCCTATATTAAGTTTGGTTTGAAAATTTCGTTTGACAATAAATTTAATTTCAAAAATATTATGAAAATACGACCTATTTATTTTTTTTTTTAATTATAATTTCTACTAATTTTATTAGATTTACATACATTGACAATAACCGATAGACTCAAAAGATAAATAAATTAAAATGCACATAATTGTCTATTTACAGAATAAGAGCAGGCTGCAGTATATCTAGTCCAAGTATCAGCGAGAGCCAGGGCAAACGGTTCCAGGACCCGTACAGATCGTGCGGCAAACTTGGAGGCAGTGGGAAGCTCGCAAGCAAATATGTGAGCGGAGGCAAGCTAACCGGCACGGGCGGCAAAATGGGGGGCAAAGGCGGTAAATATGGGGGTAAACTTGTTCAAGTACTGGCACGGCGGAGAGCGCTCGCCGCCATGTCGCAGTCTGGACCTCCAGGATTATCAGCGCCGCTAAGCAACAGATCGAGAGACGGGACAGTGGAGTTACAGATACTCTGTCAACCGGAGTCCCAGCACAGAGCGAGGTGAGTTTCTTATTGACTCTTTCATAACCCATAAACATCCAGCTACTTAGTAATCTGTCCCGGTAAAAAGAAGGAAGGCTAATTTCCTTCTATTCCCGTGTGGTCCCGGCATAGAAAAGGCACCCCTTTCTTTCTCGTGGATGTCGTAAGAGTAAGGGAAAGCGAGGGATGGGCAGCAGCGTCCCTCTTGAAACATCTCCAAAGCCTAACTGCGGTTGCCAATCTGGCTGCTAAGCGTGGCAGCTACTGGAAAAACCCCCAAGGGGGAAGCTTATGTTCAGCAGTGGACAGTTATGATGATGATGATGATGATTACTATTGGTGATGTTTGATGTTTTTATTTCGGGTTTGACTAGTCCTTGCGCTAGAATACATAAACAAAATATATTATTTTTTCCCTGGAAACAGTCGTGCTCAGTCCTAAGTGAATTCATCACCATCACCTCACTGACTTGTCTTTTCATTCTCACCTATAACTCCTCACTGGTGCCCCGCAAGTGTATACCGTTAGCGCAGGTAGGGTTGCCATTCCATTATCATGAATTTAATATAACATTATACCATATCATATCAGCCCCTAATTGTCCACTGCTGAACATAGGCTTCTCTCTATTGAGGGGGTTTTGTCAGTAGTTGCCACGCTTGGTAGGCAAATTGGCAACCACAGTTATAATTTTAGAAATGTTTTAATAGGAACGTTGCTGCCTATTACTCGAATATTAAGTTCCCTTAATTGCCTCTTACAACACCCACGGGAAAGGAAGGGATGGCAATTTCTATATTGGGCACACACGGCTATACAACATAATATAACACCATAATCCTAAAGACTGGCAACGCATAAGTACCATGGATATTACAGTATATTCTGTTAAGTCCACGGTACTGTTCATGTCTATAGGTGGCGGTTACCACTTTCCATGAGGGGGGCCAAAAAATCAAAGTTCCTTAGTACGTAAAGGAATGGAGACATCGAACTCTTACTTCAATGCTACACGATTTTATAGATTAGAGTGACTTATAGCATAAGCCAGATCGATTTTTTTTTATTCATCTTAGAATGGCAAACAAGCTGACGGCCAACCTGATGGAAAGTGATAACCGTCGCCTATAGACATGAGCAGTACCAGGGACATAACAGAGTATACTGTTTCGCCCATGATACCCCCCATGCGTTGCCATTCCTGAGGACTTAGGTGTTATTCCTCTGTACCCTGTAAATTCACGCCATATCCCACCCTTCAAACCGAAACACAGCCATGCAAACACAACTGCTTCAAGGTAGAAACACGAATGAGACAGAGGTACCCAAGCAATCGACTTTTATACAGTCTCCCTCTGGTGATTTATGATAATAATTTGCTTTGATGATGAGATGTGCACCGCATTACATCCGCGCAGGACTACAAATACCAACTTACGTTAATGATAATAAATCTTATAAAAAATTCGCATTGTGCAATCGAGGACAGATAAAACCAAGCACTCCTGTCCTGTAGTTAAATTTTATATTCGGTTATTTAAGTTAACACTGTCCATGCATTTCAGATATCAGACTGAAGGGAGCCGAGGTGCTGTCAAAGACAACTCGGGCAATGGGTTCCCTATAGTAAAACTGGTTGGGTACGATAAACCAGCTGTTTTACAGGTGTGTACAATTTATTTATACTTTTTTTGTGCAATAACAATCGTGGAAAACAAGCATGCCTTATGTTCAAGCCGGAATGCTAAGGATACGTGGCATTCTGGCGCAGAATCCTATATAGGGTAAAATTCGCTTGATTCTATAACGGGGGACGTCATGAAAAAATTTTGATGTCAAACAAATTCTAGGGAACGCATTCCGCTTATTTATCAAAAATTCATCAAGTTTTATGAAGGTGTAGCGCAGAACTGCTTTTTGCCAAATAATGATAAAATCTCTCAATCCACAGCATTTTCTTAAATTTGCGTATTGTTTTCCAGGTATTTATAGGTACGGATACCGGCCGTGTGGCGCCACACATGTTCTACCAGGCGTGTAGAGTCTCAGGAAAGAACTCGACGCCGTGTAAAGAACGAAAAGAAGATGGTACAGTAGTCATCGAGATCGATCTGGAGCCAGCGAAGAACTGGCAGGTCACCTGCGATTGTGTAGGAATACTCAAGGTTAGTGCTTGGAGACTATCGTTAAAGTTGTGCTACATGATAGCATCCGAGATGAGGATATTCGTATAAGAACCAAAGTGATAGAATAGTTCGAAGGATCAACAGCTTGCTGATCCTTCGACTGTGGCAAAAGGCCAGTCACATAAATCGAAGAACCGATAAAAAGATAAGAAATGTTTCCTAGTAACAAAGTGACAAGCAATCTTAACTTTGAAAAAAACCTCAAATATACTGCAAACTGCTAAAAACTACTCCTTGTAGCAACCTAAGTAAGGCCTTTTGCAGTGGAGAGTAAAACACTAGGCTAAAATGATGAATAAATATTGATGATAAACACGGTATTGATCTTCGATTGATCGCCAATGTCTTAATCGTCAATGTCTTTACAATTACTCTCCTCACTGTCTTAATATAAAGATTCAGAGCACATAAAATTGAAATACTATCAACTTTGTTACGAGAGGCATTGTACATTATGTGCATTTATTGAGCCCGACTTCGCGGCGCTCAACCGCCCTTTATCAGCGGTCAACGCGCTCGCTCTGCAATAAATTATGATTAGCTACGCCGATGCGGGCTGCGCAAACGCATCAGACAAACAAGCTGTATTATATTAACTTGTTAAATAACTCAGCCTGTGATAGTGTTCTTATCTGAAGTGACTGAGCAATAAATACATGTTGTAAGAACATAAAATCAGAATCGAAGTATCATTATCTTATAATAGAAAAGAGGAAGTGATAATTTTTATGTTTCTTTTTTATGCAACTTAGAATGGCAAACAAACTGACGGCCCACCAGATGGAAACTGGTAACCATCTCCTATAGACATGAGCAGTACCATGGATATAACAGAGTATACTGTTTCGCCTCAGGTGTTATTCCTCTGTACCCTATAAATTCACTGCCATATCCCTTCCTTCAAACCGAAACAGCCATACAAACATAACTGCTTCACAATAGAAACACGAATGGAACACAGGTACCCAAGCAAACGACTTTTGTACAAAATCTCTCTCTGGTTTACTCCCATTAAATAACGCTTCATTTTTTTAAACTACAAGGGAAAAGCTAACCCATTGATTAAAATTTTAATTCACCTACGTAACTACGACTTAACATTTGAATCTTTATTTTGTATTAATTTAAAGGGTACGTTGAATTCTAAAGAAAGGTATGGCTAGTTTTTTTTTTAATTTTTACAGAGAACAAACGAAGTTGCGGGTAAAGATTTGTATTAAATAAAAATTTCAATTACTAGGAGCGCAACGTGGACGTGGAGCATCGATTCGGAGAGACACTTGGTAGTGGTGGCACCGGCGGGGGAGCAGCGGGTGTTGGCGGCGGCGGGGCCTCAGCACATGTTTCGCGCGGCAAGAAAAAATCGACACGTTGTCGTATGGTGTTTCGCACCGACATCATCACCGCCGCCGGACACAGGGAGACGCTGCAGGTGTGCTCCACGCAAATTATATGCAGTGAGTATCCTTCTTCGAGTATTTGTAATTATTTATATGACCAAGGAGATATTTCACAAATCACAATAATCCATACTTAATAATCCGGCTTGAAGGATCATTTCGAGTTCGGTCTAGAGCTTCGAAAAATTAAATTGCGAAGTCTAAGTGAAGGAATCCTGTTAGTGAAGTTACTCAATTAAAATTTTTTAGAAATGTAAAAATGCTGTTTGACAAATCCTTTTTTTTCTTCTTTTGTGGCGTTCACCCCGATATTAGGGTATTTTGCCAACAAATCCTTTGCCAATTGATGCTACATTACTATTCAGTTAGTTAATTTGTTTGCTCTACAAAGTGATTGTCAATTAACTTGTTCTAAATTCTAAATTACTATTAACATAAAAAGTCATTATGAATCACCAAAGTGACAATTTAAGTTCCAGATATCTCCAAATTAAAAACTTTCGTACTTTTTATACTACATCTGAGAGCATGCAAAAACGCAGTTGTTAATACAAAAACAATTTAGAACATTCCCTCAAAATAACTGATACAAAATAACAACTTCTAAAACTACCCGCTTTCTGTTTTCAGCGCAACCTCCCGGCGTCCCAGAAGTATGCCGCAAGTCATTAGTATCGTGCCCTGCCACCGGGGGTCTGGAGCTGTACCTCCTCGGGAAGAACTTCCTCAAGGAAACACGCGTGGTCTTCTGCCAACGGCAGGACGGCCGCAACGTTTGGGAAGAGGAGGTGATACCTGACAAGGAGTTCTTGCAACAAGTAGGTTTACATATGCTATTATAAATCATATAGTAGCTCAGGAATCATGAGTAAATGTGTACTACGCGATGACCAAAGCAGCTTAAGGTGATTTTACCAGAAGTTGCAAACTCACCTTTGATCATTAAAAGCATTATAAACTCAATCTTTGCCACAATGGATTGGATTATCCTTAGACAGGCTTACAAAAGGTATCGAACCCTTAAGTTTTAGAAGAGACTGCCTCTCTCTGCCTGTTCTACATCTTGTACAATGAACTGTGCTCAGAGAAATTGTTTAACATGCTACCTACAGCCAATTTCTACCATCGTACAGCTCACCACCGACAGGGAATTAACCCCCATACCTTGGAGGCTATAGGACGCACACAAAAGCATTAGACGTTGCACATATGATCGCGAGTAGCGACAACAAGAGTCCACAGATCTCTTCAGCATCATAAAAAGACATTGCGAATGGTATTAATACAGTTTAAACTGCGGTTAAAAAAATGGTTACTGGAATACAATTTTTATTCAGTAAATGACTTTTTAAAATAATGAAATGTATGTATATTGTATACCATTTATTATATTTAGGGATTTTAATTTTGGACTTGTTCTGGATTTAAATATATTGACACAAGTATTTGTATAAATATTAATTTGGAATAATTTGATATTAGAATGTTAATCAATGTTGATTATATTAAAATTATAATGTAACGGATTCGATATGTTTGATGGACTTATAAACATTTGCATGCTATTAAATATGACGAAACATACTGAACATTAAAAAATCAAACTGTAAAATAAATTATTATTATTATTACACCAACGCTGAGTTACGATAATTACGATTAAACGGAATTTTATCACTTCTAACCTCAATTATATTATCTGTGATTTTGCTTGACGACTGCATTTTTTTTTTGATGGGTGAAAATTTTGCTACGCTGACGACAGATGAGAATGAAAAACATTTGATGGAATTAACCATGATCGTCGATTCTGTGCAACAGACGATGCATTTAGGATCGTCGATGTGCCCGTGTCCCGTCGTGTCAAAATATAAAATGTAATACAGTAAAAGTTCTTTATTCGCGGACTATACGTTCTGTGAATATGCCGCGATATATTCGCGTGAAACCGTGAATATAGAAAACTGAACCACTTATACAGCGGCAATAACATTTGACAACATACTTTAGGCGTAGTTGTAATAAGGTCTGTTTTACTTTTTTATTACTCCTTTTGCCGACGCGTTTACGACGGACACCGAATCCTTTTTATTAATATGCACCGATTAGATCCGTGAATAATGAAATCTTTAGCCGCGAATTTAGGAATTGAGTCACAAATTTTTAATCCGCGAATAAAGGAAGCGTGAATAAGGAGCTTTTAATGTATATGTTTTGTTTATCCACAGACGCACCTAGTGTGCAGCGTGCCGCCATTCGCGCGGACCGACGTCACGGAAGCAGTAGCGGTGCAACTGTTCGTACGGTCGGCGGGTCGTACATCTGAACCGCACGCGTTCTACTACACGCCGCCGCATCTCGACACCGGGCCATTGCACTGTACGCGCCATCTCGCGCCCTCGCCTGCCGCAGGTATAACCTCCTCTTTGCCACATGCCGCATCCCATGCTTCATGTTCTATATATCATGCCAAATCGCGACCACTCCCCCAGCCTTATAAACTCGAAATTGTAGTGTTGGATCGATAAAAAAATTGTAAATATAAATACTCGCGTCCACTATGACGGATCACACCGCAGCGTAAGCTGTTATAAAATCATTTATGTACATTTTATATGCGCTGCGGCACGTCGTATGGTTTCGTAAATGATTCATATAAAATGTATGAAAACAGATTACAGCACGTTGCGATGCGGTGCGGTTCGCCTTGCTGGCTTTACGTTATTCCTTTACCATTCCAATTCTGAGATTAAATTCCACATTGGATTATAGCTAGACTGACCTAAACAGAAGTCAAAATTTTACTGAAACTAATGACTTCTCATAAATACATATACATAAATGTCTCTGTGGATTTTTTTTTATGTCAAATAACCGTTGATTACCGAGTAACGTGATTTTTATAAGTAAGGGGGTGAAAATCAAATAAATATTGATAATACTCGTCACTCGGTTTTCGATCAAGATCGTTAAAATCACGCGCACGTAACTTCCTTGGTGTTACAGACGTCGATAGGTTATGGTAACTCCGTTTAACATCAGACGGGTCGTACGCTTGTTTGCTACCATATTAGTATAAAAATTGCTTTAAATAACAGATGTAGTTCGCCCGTATTTCAGTTTTAAAACTTTTCAAATAGTATACCTTCAATCTTTATTTGATTTAGACTGTTGTAATAAACATGCCATTCGTCATGTTAGCCACGCATAATTATCAAATACATTTACTGTGGTTGCGGGTAGATGAATATATTTAAAGTGAAATATTCGAATTGACACCGCTTTAAATGGTCTATTTTCAAAATTGCTTATGATAAATACCTACATATTATCAACCTGTGGATTTTCATTATGTTTAAATATAATAGTTTTTTATATTTATAAATAAACGTAGCAATTAATTTTCAAAATACATCCACTACAAGTACAGAACAAAAAACGTAATACTTGTCGCTAAGTAGAGTTTGAATTTTCTAAACAAGACCCAAGAAATTCCATGTGTTGTGCCAAAAATTTAAAAACGATCTGTTAAATTCGAATATGTTTTGGATTCGCTTTTTTTTTCTAAAATAGTGTACATCGACTGATCCCAATCTTCATACATTTCTAAAACATCTTTCAACATCTGCTGCTGATTTCTAAGTCATTAAAGTAAAACCTACCATATAGCTAGCTGATCTTAAATTTTCTTAACCAAATATTAAGCAATTAATTAAAATTAATTAATTAATAATTAACGACATTCCATTACTAATTTGAATTGCATTCGCTGTTGTTCTTTTTGTTCTGTAATTAGTAGATAGCAGATGCTTAAGAAGTATATAAATGTTTATATATTATATATTTAATAACGTAAATAAATCCACATAACACAATTTGTGAATGTTGCTTATACATTTATTAGATGTTAGTTGTTATATATGTTGCATAAAGCATACAAAAAAAAGTGTATTACGAAAGATTTTTTTTTAATTGATAATCGCTTTACATGTTGGTACATACGACCACGAAAACAATATTATTCTAGGTCAGTGATTCAACCAATTTACCACACTATTGTCATTGTTAATAATCATAAAATTAATTTATTGGGTCGCTAAATAATCTTAAATATAGTTTACAATACGCATTTAACATAATATAACAAATGAGTCAGTTTTTTCAAGTCCGGGGAGTTTGTTCAGTTTGAATAATATTGAATGCAATTTTTTGTGCTCGTAGTGTACCCACTTATATTAAAAAATGTTGCTTTCAATATTCAAATAACCGCATGATTATTACTAGTTACGCTTTCCATGTGTATTTCAATAAATAATAAATCTAACCTAACAATAATATATTTATATGCATGAAATTATTCTATTCAATGTGCGGTTAGGTTAAATGTGTTAATTAAGTTTAGATATATGAATATGAGAAACAATTTTGGAAGAAATGACTGATGCGTAAATGGCGTACTCTTTCTTTTTTTCCCTTCTGTTCAAGCTAGGTCTGTCTAGGTAGAGACAACGGCCGCAGCCCCCAGCCGCCTGCTGAGTCTCGTCGGCACGGTACTTACGCACACACACCCACACACACCCACACGCACACGCACAAGCACACATATGCAATAATATTACATTGGTTGCCAATCAAAAGGCATACAATTGTCTGACCTAATAACAACACCTATGGTCGAAATTTGAAAAATGACCTAACCTTAAAATACAAAATTGCTTGAACTTTATAATATAATGTACCTAATTAACGATGCACTAAAATTACTAAGTAGCCACACTTGAATTTATTGCCATGGACTTTGATCCGCTCAAAGTCAAATTTAGCAGACTTAAGTAGTGTTTCACTGAAACCACCAACTTTAGATAGATCATCCACTATGTATTTTACAAGCGCCGAAACTTTGTAATTATTCTCTCACAACTACTTGTCTACAACAGCTATTCTACGCAGGTAATCGGGCTGGTAATAATATATCTTAAAATTATTAATATTTTACAAAAAGCACCTTAAGAATGTTTTATTCAAATTGTATTTTTAAAGTAGATTGGTATAAACGTGGTTTCAAGTTTCAACTTTTTTTATCCATCATAGTTAATACATATGTATATAATAAATAAAATTAAAAGTTTGAAAATCAAAATAAAGTAAAATATAATGTGTACTTACAGAATATTTAATAATAAAATTAAACTTTTTGATTGCTTCACTAACCGTTTAGAAATAAGTAAAGTTAATGATTAGAAGTTTTAAATAAGTATTTCGACTCATAGGTATATTGTTGTTAGTTTGAAACGATTTTATATCATTTGTTATTATTAACCATAACAATCGAACTACATAATTTAAACATGTACAGTTACAAAAAATATACATGAGGCAACCACATGCCTGCACACATACGATTCCCGACTCTTTCCACACATTTACTATCGAAAGAATATCCAGGATATGAATTCACAGCGTAGACCTACTCGGTCAAGGAATGCTACGCTGGCAGCCATTTTGTTTAGTGACCGGATGGAATTCTCGTCGAATGTAAATCATAAATAATAGGAGCACACATACTCATCTAACATACACTAGTACTGCGTAACACAGTCCAGATTAACACGGTTATAGGAAAAAAAAAAACTGGAATAAAATTTTGGGCGTAATCAGTTTGGGTATGCTGATAAAGATTTAGACTATATACCTACTGATACAAAGTTCACTTCTCAGTGACACTGACACGTAGAGTAGGCACAGACTCCACAGATTTCCCCTATCCCTCCACACCATAGATAATTTAAGAGTGCCTGAAACCCTGATACATTCACCGCAACAACTGCTATAATACCCATAGAAGAACTTTATTTTGATTTCTCTCGAAATATGAACTTTGCATCGAAGCGCTAAGTTTGATTCTTTTCCTAATCACAAGAATATCAAAATTTTGCTGCTAAAATATTTAAAAATAAAATATAATGAAAAGTTCTATCTCGAGTCAGTCAGAATGGTTCAAATCTATAGCTCGACCGCTCTCAACGGAGAATGTTATGTTAAATAAACTAAGATTACCACGCTAATTTGAAATAATGGCACAGTATACGAAGTATTGCCAGTGAATTGAAAAAAAAAATCTGAATTTACGCTCTGTGGGGTAATTTTAAAAGGTGCATTGAAACTATCGAAAACTACTCCAGGGAAGGTCGTCGCACAATCGACTCGAACAGAGACAGAGCGTGGAGGTTTTGTAAAGGACATGGCCGAGGGCCCGGGGGCCCGGGGGCCCGGGGGCGCGGGGGCCCGGGGGCCAGGGGTAGGGCGCGTGGTAGTGTTAGTGTGCACATTGTCCGTGGGGGGCGGGCGAGCCCGCGGGCGGATCCCGCCGCCGGCCGCTCACGCGCGCGTGCCGCAGGTGGCGCGGCGGGCGACGAGGCGCGGCCCGTGCTGCTGTGGGGCGGCAACTCGCTCATGCCGCCGCCGACGCTGCCCGTGCGCCGGCCCTCCATCATCGTGCCCGACCCGCACTCGCCGCTGGGACTCAAGAGCGAGGTAACTTATTCCGTGACATGTTTTGTTTAGACCTGTGTATATGGTGTAATTATTAAATTCTGTACCCCAAAAAACTACTTTAACTGTAGCAGAACCATTTATTTTAATTTTAGAACTAAACAACTAAACCAATATTGATAAAAAAATTATAAGACCAATCTGTAAACGTGTCCTTTCAGCTAAGCCTTTAAGATAACAAAAAAATCTAAAACGGAATTAAACAAAATAATTCTAATAAGTAACCAGCAATATACTCATAAATATGTTTCCTCCTGTGAGTATCGTAAAAAGCGATTAAGGGATTCAATTGGTTAAAAAATGAACAGGCAGTAATGTTCTCTATAAACATTAGCGCCAAACTTAGCAACTATCGCTAGACCTTCCTTGTAAAAGTAATGAGTATAAAAACTAACCCCAGTAACCAGTTCTACTGTACCTAAACTTGGTAGCGAACACAGTAACTTTGGTGTTAAAATTGATTTACAAAGCACTATAACAATTTAGCGAAAATAACTTCATAAAGAAATTTCTGTACCTTTAACTTTAATTACGTGTCAACCCATAGGTGACGGATGAGTCAAGCCAGCATTCCTTAGCAGACCACACGGAAACATCGTGTGGGCCAGATGGCCCAGAAGCAGCTCCTTCACAGTCAATGCTTGCCGACGAGCTGAAGGTCGTCGACTTGAGACTCAAGTCTGAAACTATCACTAGAGAAGGCCAAACCCAAGTATGTAACTTTATGATGTGGACTTTAATGTTAATATATATATATATATATATATATATATATATATATATATATATATATATATATATATATATATATATATATATATATATATATATATATATAGTATATATATATATATATATATATATATATATATATATGTATATATATATATATATATATATATATATATATATATATATATAATCGATTATTTAAGTAGTAGCACAAAGGAAAAATCAGGACATCAATTAAAATTAAATGTTTAATATTTAATATTTTATTTCTTTTATTAGCCGCGACAAAAGTCTGTTACATATTAAATATCCTTATCAATTCATACTAAATATACTCATTTACTTTTAAGCAGGTTGGCTTCGTCAGCGGATATGACTCCATGAAGCTGTCTCCCACGACCCCGACCCAAAGCGAGCCGCCCTCCCCTCTTGCCTCTTTTACACAACAACTGCAAGCTATACAGAACCAGGTACAGACCGACAAGATGGTCGAATCCGTCACCGCTGCTATATTCAATTCGGACGACAACGCCGGTCAAATATATCCTCCTATAATGCCCATGCCCACTATGGACTCCATGCGACAACTGATCTCCTCCAAAAGTCCAATGGACCCTCTCGAAACAGACATGAAGGTGTTGAACCCAGAAATGATGATAAACGACACGACGATGCAGTCCACGGTGCTACAATCCACCACCGAGCAGAGGATGATCGTGTACAACCAAATGCCGCAAAACAGGCCGGATGACACCTTCAACCCGTTTGATACGATGACAAAAATGGAGATCGGAATAGGAACACAAATCGAGCACCGGCTAGCGCAGCAGAGCGCACACATGGAGGCACTAGTGGACGACGCTATGAAGTCGGGCATGATGATGCAGTCGGATGATGCCAAATTAAACGAGTTCGTCAATTCGCGGGCAGAGGACCACCTGTCGGGCCCGTCCACGTCCCCGTCGAGCGCGTCCCACGCGTCCGACGTGCTGCTTAGCCCCAACGCCGCCGTCGTATCGCGTAACCCGCCTGCAGAACTGCTGCCCGCAATGCCGACGTCCGCGATCTCGCCCGACGTGATTCTAAACCCGCAAGTGTCACCTAGCTTGCTCTGCGACAACACGCAGCGCATAGTGATGCCGGCCGGTCCCGCGCAGGACGAGCTCATGATGCTCCCCGACCAGGTGCAGCTCACGTCGGTGAAGACACCGCCCGCCGCGGTCAAGTCGATGATCTTGAACGCGGCCGCCGAGATCCTGACGTCGGACTCGACGATGAACGCGCTAGTCACGTCCGCTATCAACACGGCCAACATTTTGACAACGGAAAGCGCGAGTGGCAGCACGGGGTTGCAGACGGTGGCGACACAGGAGCCCGCGGAACCGGCGGGAGAGGCGCCGCTGGCGGCCATGTCGCAGGCCGTGTCGCAGGCCGTCACGCAAGCTGTGTCCCAAGCCGTCTCGCAGGCTGTCTCCCAAGCGGTCTCACAGGAGATGACAGCGCCCGTACAGGGACTCACCGACATGAGTGACCAAGACCTACTCTCCTATATAAATCCCAGTACGTTCGACCAGGGTGAGTATATAGACGCCTATTATTTACCAAGTACCCTTTCAAACCAGTGCCATTGGACAAAATATTAACTTCTTTACATTACGTTATTAACTTAAATCCATGTCTGGACTATTCATATGCCTGCACAATCCCTCTACTGACTAATGATTTTTACCCATTATTTAGTAATTGGATAAATTACTACATTTATTTATCATCTGGAAATAAGAGGTGGCGTTCGCTTAAAAGTTGGTAACACATAATGTTTCATTTGTTAATCATTCTAATAAAACTGCCAGTTCACTTTGATGTTTTCTTTTAAAAATATCACACTTGTTGCATGTGTAATATAAATTACATTTCCATTGAGCTTAATTTTCATGCACTTGCACTTTGATTAAAGAAAATTGTATCTTACGTCGTCTACGAATAATTTGTAATGTAAAAAGTTTTTTCTCAAACATGCTTGGAAATGTGAGCATTATTTTGACAATCTTCTTAGAGATAAATCAAAATTGCCGCAATGGCCAGATACATGCGAGCAGCGGCCGGCAAAAGTTGTATAAAAATCCATATCTGTCGTGTTTGCGGCCAGATAAATTACTATGTAAGCTCATATCTGTCCTGTAATTTAAAAAACCTTTTACTTCAAAACATGGCTGCCAAGGTAACTAGTAAAAGGTTTTATTTAAATTTCGAACTGGCTTACAAAAAGAAAGCTGTTTAAAAACAAAGGAATAATGTTCCTTGGCGCGTGAAAAATTATTATTGTTCGTTATTCGTCATTGAACTTAAAAAGTAAAATTGTGTTTTTGATTTACGCGCATTGTTTGAGAAAAGTACTATACAAGCCTTGGCCACAACTAGGCATTGATGGACTTACGTATGTGTGCCTCGGCTACGCCTCGGCCCACATTTGCACGTCCGTCCATCAATGCCTCAGTTGCTGGCCGCTGCAGTAATGTACTATATAAGCTGATCAATACTAATGGAAATAAAATAAATTTCTTTGATGGTAGTGACGACTCCAGAATTGTATGGAAGACGTTTACTATAACTATAATGCAATTATATAATTTGTTGCAGTGTAAGTTCGCCTCGTAGCTAGGCCGACGCGTCGCCGCACCGTTGCTGTGTGTCGTTCTAATATGTATTACGCCTACATTCAATGCATTTTAGTGATGTGTCAAGGGCTCAAAAGCAGTTTTTATGTGAATTTTTATGTCACTATATATACGTATAGTGATTAATTAATATAGTGGTAACACTGTCAGACATTGAGTAATCTCCGTTTAAGTTTGAGAAGCGCGAAGTGACGTGACTGTGTACAATTAAGTTCTTTTATGATTCTCATACCTATTAATTTTGTTGTATATTGACGGTATGTTATGGACGTCAATTAAATCGTCATGTGAGTCAGTATTACAGGGGAAATTTTATACAAGTGTGTCGAGAGGCCGAGGAACGAATGCAAGAGGTCCGTGGGGTTGCCTGCATACAAAAAATGCAGTGTTGTCACACTAACTTATTTATTTTATTCCATCCAATTATCGTTTTAATCAAATATTCATTAGTTATGTAGTCATAATACTAATATAACATAAAATAGACAACATAGGAATTTTAAGTCACAAAGTGTATGCCAAGGGGCTCCCATTCGTTCCCGATCGTCTCGCTCTGATCAGATGTATGTATTTTTGAAGTCTTATGAACTCTTATAAATCAAACGTGGACGTGTGATTTGTATATCGAATTATACAATGTAAATAGCGTTAGACATTGTATTTATGTTGTTATATTGTAGAAATAGTGCGGTGAGATTATACCATGATAGTATGATCGTGTTACAATAAGTAATAGGTACTTTAATATGTATTTAGCGAATCTGACACAATATGTCTATTTTTATAAATTATTAATTCCAGCGATTAATATCCGATTGACTATTTTAAGTACATTTAAATGTATGAATGAAATATTTGAGATATAAATAATAAAATGGAGTTTGAAAACCCTAAATTATATAGATATTCACTATACAGCCATATTTAAAAGACATTATTATTATTATTATTGACTACTATTGCTCTATTTCATAATATTTGGCAGTAATAATAACAGTTTAAAAAATTGAAATTGCGCACTTAGAAATATATACGTTTTGTTTATATCAGTGTTTGCTATTGCTCTCGCTACTAAAAGGCACCAATCACATACGGCACATGTCAAATGTCAAGTCTATAAAATCATATTAATTAATCTGTCGTTATCTATGTACTTGTGTGACAATTTGGCGGGAAATCGTTGGATATGCGTCTCGATATTTTTTAATATCCGATAATTGATGCTATGGGGATAAAATTATATAATTTTGTGGTCGAAACATTGGATATGTTTCTACCACAAAACTATATAATTTTATCCAATGATTTTCAAATCAAATATACAAACTATAAAAAATTACAGAACCGTATAATTTTTACCGTTTCGTAAAAGTGTCTTGACATTTATAATCTAGGTGATATTGATCTAAAAACGTAAGAGGAAGTCCCCTAGTAGCGGACACATAAAATTTTAAGAAAATAATAAAAAACCTTTTTCGAAATATTTTACTTTATTTATGAAAACAAGTCAACAAAGTTTATAATCAAAATAAATGGACAGAAGGGTAAAAACAATGGACAAATTCTGTATAAACATTTTTTATAAAATATTTAATAAATATTAGGTAAGAAAATTTTGAATTGTTACTTGCCAGACTTATCTTCGTATTCCAAACGCCGGATATTTCTAAATTATTATACATCTACTGCAAATATAGGTATCTGATCAATCCCCTGATGTTTGTATATACTTCATGAGCGAAACTGTGACAGCTTGCGCTCTCTATTCAGTCTTTAGCATGGACTTCAAATCACACCACACAAGTAACTCCTTGCCTATATGTGGTAAATTTCTTTTCTATTTCATTTTAGTTCCTTACTGTTCCTATCTCTTCTTTACACTATTCTTTTCCATCCTTCAACTCCCGATTACCTCAAAATGTGCTTTGAGTTTCATGTCGATTTTCAGGGTCGTACATTGCGCAGCACGAGATCCTTTGAAGGTAGAGAGAAAGGTAGATGACTTGCGCCATCTACCTTGCTCTCTGTACTTATCCATTCTTTATGCCAGGTTGTCTGTAAGAGATTGCTTTTAGCGATAAGGCTGCCTTTTGTATATGCACATTCTGTAAAAATTTACTTTTTTCGTATTTTCTCTTTTGAACAATGGCGACAATTTATGCATTATCTAGACAGTATTTAAATGATAGCTAGTCAATAGTTTATAACTAACATAACAGTATACTCTGTTATGTCCATGGTACTGCTCATGTCTATAGGCGACGGTTACCACTTTCCATCAGGTGGACCGTCAGCTTGTTTGCTATTCCAAGTCTAAAAAACTGTTGTGATAGACTCTATAAAAAAGAATGTACCCACATTCTCATCTTCTGAGGCTGAATTGTGTACTATTTAAGCTAATTTAGAATTTGTAATGCTTTGTTATAAAAAATCGTCATCGCATTGTCTCAACTAGTTTCCCGCTAAAAATGTAATAACACGTAAAAAAAAAATGTTGCTGTCCGGTGTCGTAGGACGACTTTTTGTCTGATAACTTAACTTTAACGCACAGTAAAATTCTATGTACATTTGGCGGACTTGACACCGGACGGTGTTCTCTACCAGTCAAGCATTGGGGCAAACAGAGAAATAAGTAGGCGATGCATTATTGAATAGAGGGGAAATAAAGCAATACTTGATATACATATATAGTCTCAAATTTACATATTTCCTATTAAAAATGTTTGGAAAATCAACAATTGCATTTGAAAGATTACATGTAATAATTATTACTATAAATATTTAAATATAAAAATATTTTAATCTTAAGTAAAGCAGTGTATTGCCGTCAAATGGTGTCTTCACTAGTACCTATGTTGGGTTCGCGTGTCACCTGCAGCAGTATCCCGTGTTCATATATTACTAGCTGATACTGAATTCAGGTTTCAATTATATTTGAGCACAACACGCTGTGTTTAATTGAAATGTTAAAAGTTTTAAAAACTGTTCAATACTAGATGCCGTTCGGCGATACGGAACTTCTTCCTACTCTTAAAAATGTTAGTAAAAATAAAAATAAATATGGCTGTATAGTTGTGTACCTACATAATTTAATATTAGAAAAAAAAAACCGACTTCAATTTTGATATAGTTAGTATAGAACCATCCTTGAAGTATAAACACTTAGAAAAGATCATTTCCGAAATTATGATATAAAGTAATAAATAAATAAAATATAAAAGTTGTCACGTAAATTCCGCATACAAAATATGTAGTAATCGGGAGCCTTCTTATTGAAGTCGGTTAAGGACAAGATGACGTATGGCTTCAATACAAGAACTATATAACAGAAGGTGTGTACCTACCTTTTATATTTTTATATCATGTTATATAAGAAACGTTCCAACGGTCCCCGCGCCTAATTTATGCTAAAATACCTTTACTGCTCAAAGACTTTAATAAAATATAAAAAAAAAAAAAATTACAACATCCTTCTTTAAAGTCGGCTGAAAACAATATATACTAATGAGAGATCTGTTTGTATTAATGTAAATATATATTAATTGACAAAATATACTTCAACTTTTATTTATATGTGTAAATAAATGTATACAATAAAAGATCATGGAGTGAAAAATTCTCATTGTCATCACAAAAGGCTAGAATCCAAACACGTGACACCTGAATTAACAATGGCGCTCGTTTATTGAGTAGTAAAAGTATTTTGCGTGTGTTTATAATTAATATAATTGTGATATAAGGAACTGTTATATTATTCACTTGGCGTAACTACAGTATAGCAGATAAGCGAAACATTCGGCGCATAGTGTAAAGACGAACAAAAATCCTATTTTAGTTCAAGATGGTTCCATGGAAATCGGCAAGGTTTACCGATCAGTGACATTTTATAAATGCTTACATTCGAAACAAATAAGCTACAAATGTATCCCATTTACTTACAGTGAACGAAAACTTTTGGATAACCTTTTTTCCATCATGGGAGCCATTCTATAAACTCTAAACTTAAAAATTAATAATTTAGCAAAAATATAGTAAGACGTAGTAATATAAAGAACTAATTGTAGTTTTGATTTAATTCTAAGTTTATACTGGTCCTTAAACCAACAGTTGGACATATTTAACTTGCTTGAAAGTGGTCGTGGCTAATCTACGACCACTTTCAAGCATCGTACGGCTCGCCATCGACAGGGAGTTCACCCTCATACCCTACAGCCTACAGTCTACCCTACAGTCGCGTACAACGCGCTTTCAGAGATGTTTTCTCCCACGAACACTCAGGTTATGGAATGAGCTCCCTGCCGAGGTTTTCCCAAGAGACTACAGCATGGGGTTCTTCAAAAGAGGGGTAAAGAGGTTCCTTCAGGGTCGGCAACGCGCGCGTAATACCCCTGGAATTACAGACGTTCATAGGCTACGGTAACCGCTTACCATCAGGTGGGCCGTATGCTTGTTTGCCACTTCGGATCGGGATTCGCATTTTAGAATGGACTCCTCAATAGGGGTGTGGCATTTACATACGTTCTTATTATATTAATTTATAGTATAGAATATACAAAATATAACAAAACAAAAATAAATAGGCAGCCAATCTTTGTGGGCTGCAGATGAGGTCTATATATAGGTATATATAGGTCTCTATGATATTTGTAGTCTATTTTTTTTTTGATGGGTGAAAATGGTGTGGTAACCCCGCCTGCGCTAACGGGATACGCTGGCGAGGCACCAGTGAAGGGTGATAGATGAGAATGAAAACAGGCCAATTAGCCCATCGTGATGAATTCATCAGGAATTAACCATGATAGTTTCCAGGGGGAACCGCGAGTAGGTCGACCTGGTTGGGTATATTGCTAGCAATGGGATTCTCAGTCTCCATTACTAACAATTTTCCCTCCCATTTGTAGTCTATTATAGCAGAGATTTTATTTATGTTTTGTTATATTTAGTCTCAATCCAGTAAGTCCAGACACAATGTGTTAAGACAACTTTATTCACACTGTGATTATAACTTTCCGAACTCCATTCTCTATTCTCGAACTATAAATTCTTTTCAATCTTTTTACTGTAACACACCTGTGGTTCCCTATAAATATATTTTGTTATTTGAATCAAACATTGTACGTATTTACACTAAGCGAGGCCCCAGTCTCTGCAACACCCGTACGTTACGCCAAAATAGTAGCTAATTTTTACATGTGTAAGGAAACCTGTACTGATGTGATGCTAGAGCAAAGATTTATATAAAGAAAAAAACTATGTTAAACAATATAACGTAGAGTTCATTTTTATAGTTGCATATTGCAGTGGAAATAAACATATTTAAATGTGCCATTTATATGTAATCTTAGATTAGGGTTATTGTATCATATCGTATGGAATGTTCTTCGTTAGAGAGATGCTTACACATGTCGTGCCTTGTGGCGGCAAACACAAGCCCTGACCATGGTAGGTAGATATATATATGTATATGTATATATATATATGTTTATGTATGTGTCTCTTATATGGATGTATACTCTGTTTTTATGTCCCATTTGATAAACAATCTTGATGACTTTTAACGATATCCCTGATCATGTTTTTCTTACTACGAATAATTAAATTAATTTTAACCTAGACCAATTGAAGGCAAATGTGAGTATATATTTATTCGTGGACCCTCGAACACCATCTTAGACCATACCATCACTTTTCAACAGATGTGGACATGAGACCACACCTGTTGATATCATGATTGATCAATCGCGAGACCCTACAACAGTGAAAAAAAAATGGGCACAGTAAACTATTTAATTAACATTAAATTATTTAAATAACAATAAATTATTATTTGATACCAAAATCTTTTTATTCTATAATTTTTTTTTTTTTTGTATCAAAGAAAACATGACAAGTTTGTTTATTGAATGGGACAAATTAAAAAAAAAAAACGGACCATAGTGTTGTAGACTGTCGATGCACGTACGATATACATGCAATAAATAAAAAATTTGCAACTTGAAATAACCCTCCAGTGTGAGTCCGTAATCGACGGTACAGTATTATAGAAGTTAGATAAGGACAAGCGCGTAGACATTTTTTTTTCAAACTAATTCGTGAAAACACTTTAGAATACTCAAAACATTGTTTACATTCGACCATATGTACCTATTTAGTAAATAACAATTTACTATTAAACGCCAAATAATAACTTACTGCTACTCTGTCATTACTTAATTGACTTTCTATTGAATTTTAACTTCAAAGAAGACATTTCAATAAAATCTCTGTAGTGCATCGAATCCTACATCATTTATTATATTACACTCAGGGACCATTTTAACAAAACAATACGATTATGAATAATACAAAATACCAAAAATCTATTGAAAATTTAGCTAATAAAATAAAATAAAAAATACACCGAGATTATTAACTTATACAAAGGGAAACGATACAATTAAAAAATCAAAATATTTCGATTTAAAATTTTGTAGCGTTTTACACGCTCTTACACGAGTAAAAATAAATTATGAAAACATATTTTCTAAGCTTTTTAAAAATTTCTTGGATTGATATATATGTAATTTCATAGAATAATAATAAGTTTAATTATTAAGATGTTAAATGAATGACTTGTATGAAAAACGAGCCAAAATCTGCATAAATCTAAAATTAAAATTATACATAAGTGTAAAGAAATAGTTTATCTCAAATTATCGCACGTCAAATTATTGGGTGCTATTTTTACCGTTGCAGCATCGAATATAGAGTAAATAAAAGCATTTTAAAAAAATATATATATATACTTGTTATGACATCGAAATACCTATATCTACAATTTTAATATAAGGAGTGCCAGAAGGCATAAACTCAAGAATTATCATTAAAAATAATAAACATAATTCCGTCGTAGAACTTTTCCTTTGCTTAGTTTTGGTGAATAGGTGTCGTTACGTAAGCTTGCCGATTTTTTTTTTTATCTAATTCACTGTAGAAAAATGTCCCCGGCGTCTGTTTGCCTTCGTAGTGTCGATGTGTTGAAATCCATTTACGTGTATTTAAAATATCATTCCTCGCTTTAAAGAATTCGATTTCGCATTAAGGATAGTGAATCTTGTGACTTGATAGAAAAAGTCGAATCGTTCGCTTATAAAAAATAATTATAAATTATGTACATACCATAGACATGAAAAAAAAAAAAGTAACCTCTTGATATGACATTTTGGCTAACTTGGATCAACATTTGTAAAAAGAAATAATAATTTAGGCACTATTAATAAAAATATATAGTTATGGTTATGTTTATTATGTAGATTAAATATATAAACCTCATAGGAGGTCAGAACTGTACCTGTACACAAATAGAAACTATTTCTAAATAAGTTCGCGCGCTTTAGCTACAATAAAATTATTTTTTAAGACTTTTTTTTAAGAGCAACAAAGGAAACTTATCCGCGTGGTAGGCAAGGAACGGATGTTTAGTTCTCTTGTTCTCTCTAAATACATAAACGTATTTGGAGCGAAATCATTTACCATAGACTTACATTATCATGTTAACAATTATTACATGATCATTTAACGATCCTGTTGTTTCAAATAAAACAGCAATTACTCGCTCAATATTTCAGATGTAGATTTCAGAACGGTAACTATTTTGTAGAAAAATATATAATTATAATTTTATACTTTTATGAACAATTTTAATATAAAAAATGTATTTATTAAAGATTCCTGTATATATTGTTAATTAAATACAAAGTCATAATAAAATACCAGTTAATACGTTACAGTGAATAATTAAACATCAGTCTTCCGTTTAAAATATAAAAATATATTTAATTTGAATCAAATTCCATATTGCAAGTGCGCACGGTGCTTCCAGATACAAATTCAATTCAAACTTTCAATTTTATTGCATTAATAATGGTCATACTTATATATAAAATAATACAACTAAATTATATGTTTTAATTAATTACAAGTCTTTTTAAATGTATATATATTTTTATATACTCATTTGATTTTATAAATGACACATTTTGATCTAAAATAATACAACGAGCTGTATTATATGGTACCTATAACATGTGTCCATGAAGCATTAATGAAAATTTTAAAATAAATGTAATCTAAATTGTACATATATTTTTATAAATTATGATTATTGTTATTTGTTTTGTGTCTGTGTACGAGTCATTGTTATCCGGGGACTTTGTTTTATGGGTGGTACAAAGACGCACTATATCGCTACAAGTGACAGTGGGGTCGATTCAGAGGTGTCAGCTCTCTAAATTTATCTTCAAAATTTGAATTTAATATCATAACGAAATCTTTATTGTAAGGACCAGTATCAACTAATTTTCTTATAAATTTAAGTTTAAATTATTAAAATTTTTGTTTACGATGGTCCATAAAATAGTAATTTCGTGAAATTATCATCATAAAATATTAGATTAAAAGATATGTATAGAGAAATGACACCTCGGAATCGGCCCCAGTGTACGCAGGCCTTACATTGTAATATTTTATATTATACGTACTATTATATAGTATAGATCTCTAGTCGGTCTACATCCAATGCAACTTGCCGAGGTTACGAAGAGCATGTGTATGTTATTTGTTTTAATGTAATTGATTAAATGTTATGAAAAAAAAAGTAGTTTTTTTTTTTGTTGTTGTTAAAAGCCATAGTTTTAATACAAGTGAGAGTAAGTTATTAAAAACCTGATTGTTTAAATTCCCAAATTATCGCAGTTTAATACACAAATTAGAGATACTGCCATATTTATTTTAGAAGACCTCTCAATTACCATAATAAAGTTAAAAGAATTTTTGTAGTTATTTTAATTCCCTACTAGTGTAATTACTTTATATATAATTAATATATAATAGAAAATATATATACTATCCAACCTGTATACATACCCGAAAAAAAATTACATATTATATAAATAATAATAAATTTTAATAAAATTATGAAAGGTTATTGAGAAAAACAATAACAACATTGCACATTATTTTAATCAATTGATTCTATTTATACATACAGTGAGCATAATTAACTATTAACATAATTTATCCTAAAGTAATCCCAAGGTACTTTTCATTAAACACCACTTATTGACAAATATATTAATTTATACATAAAGCGCGCCATTTTAACGGACCAATAGTCCAACTAAAATAGTCCAGTTTGATAGGTACCTATTCTCACCGCGCGCTTGTCTATGCCAATTTATTTTTAATTCGATATACGTCGTTAAATGCCCAGGTACGAACACAGGGTGAATGTACAAAACAGTACAAATACGATAAGTAGAATGGCAACCCAGGCAGGTACTGTACCTGTGGACAAAATATATCACTGTTAAAATAAAAAATAATCGTTTAATAGCGCTCATAACCTAAGAACAAGGAATTACATAGAAGGAAAGATAAAATAAAAACTGTAAAAAAAATCATACAGTTGCCTCCTTTCTTCTTATGCAAATATATATAGTAAAAAGAGGACGAAAAATACACCATCAATTGCTTTTTTTCTCAATTCATAGTAGGCTAGTGTATAAAAAATGTTTGATATGTCAATTATTTGTCGATGACAAATTTTACATTACTAGATTATATATTAGACACAGTTTATGTAGAAAGTATGCAAGCAGGTTGTATCTGAATTTGGTAGAGTTATATGGCCGTATATTATTTTATCGTCGTACCCTCCCCAAAATTATCTAGTGCCCATCTCAAGATCAGGAGAGGGACTGCCAGCCAAAGACATGTCTAAAAGTACATATACGCCTTATTTTCGATCTGTACTTGCTGTTGGTCAAAGATGGCCTTTACAGCTTCACAGGATACGTGTGCAGATGGCACTCCAAGCCCGCAAGAGGGGAGCGACGAAGTATCGTCTTTTACCGATGGACTGCTTTTAAAAAGCCAATCTCCTCCCCTTCCTACACATACATTTCCATTCCTAGGAGCAATGACGTTACCTCTCTATACCCCGTAATTTCTCTGCCACAACAACTTCAAATCATAACACCATTGTTAGCAAGCCTTATCAGGTATCAGGTATCAGAACTTGTTGCATTCGTATTTCAATAGCACTGGCAGGGTTACCATTCCATTATCATCGATTGAAAAAAAAGATACACAGGTGGAACAGTGGTACCCATGTCAGGTGATGACTTTCGTACAAAATCGCCCTCTGGTTCTTGATATGAAACCCAAATTCTCAACATATTCTTGTGGAAGTGTACCATAATCAATGAAGGTCAAAAATTTACACTATAAGGAGGTAGAGGGGAAGGGATTGTTAGTAATGGGGAAGTTAGTCCCCTTTGTTATCAATATATATCACGACCTCCTCGCGGTTCCCCCTGGAGACCATTGTGACTAATTTATCATTGGCTAACTAACCTGCCTTTTCATCTTCACCAATCATCCCTCATTTATGCTCCACCAGTATATACCGACAACGCAGACAGGGTCATCATTCCAATATCATCCATTGAGGGAAAAGGGATTGTTAGCAATGGAGTTTGACAACCACATTGCTAGCAATATGCCCTATTAAGTCGACCTACACGTGGTTCCCCCTGAAAACCATCGTGAACAATTCTTGTTGAATTTGTCCATTGGGCCAACTGACCTGCTTCATCCTCACCTATCATCCTTCACTGGTGTCCCTCCGGTGTATACCGATAGCGCGGGTGGGGGTTACCATTCCATTATCACCCATTAAAAAAAATATCATCCATTAAAAAAAACTATAAGGCGGTAAATACTGACTCCTGCAAGGCAAGCTGTGCACGCAGAGGCAGTTGTCGACGGAAATGGAGAGCAGGGCGGCCTCGCTGCGGCTGGCGATGGGCGGCCCGTAGCCGCGCACCGGCAGGAACTCCAGCCCCGTCACGAACATCATGTGCGCGTTCTGCACGTGCAGCACCCGCTGTACGCAATGTGAAAGATGAATAAACACCATTGATTAATACACAGCGTCATCTTATAAACAAACTAAGCAGAGCTTTATGGATACTAGATAATAATAAGTCCTTTCTATCACTTTGGCAAGAATTATTTTCTTGCCAAAGTGCTATATATATAATATTTCTTGCTCTTTTGTCCTCTATTTTTCCTTCTACCTCTTTTAAGTTTATTTCCTAATATATATATATATATATATATATATATATATATATATATATATATATATACGAAAAACTAGGTTTTTGTTAATAAACTGTAAATTCATATGTACAAATCCGACTCGAAGGACCAATTATTACAAACCCGCTTTCTACAGTCAAATTTCCCAAAGTTATATGTGTGTGTTTTATTATAACTAAAGTGAAAATTAGAAATTATGTTCGTCAGTTTTAAAAATCTAGACATACACAGGAAAACACAATAAAATAAAAAGTGTCATACAATCACACTAATCGCCTAGTCTTCACGCTACACTGATATTTATTTATTTATTACATCCACTGGGTGAGCCTTGAATAAAGCTAGCAGTGAACATCTGAGAGCACAATTTAGGACACCTAGATCTCAGCCAATTTAGAACAAACCCAGGAACATATTTAAGTAAAGCAATGTACCATGGAGACTGTGTGAGCTACCAGCATGACCGACCTGCAGACTGAACGCGACATATATGTCGACGGAGCCGCTAAACATGGTGCCGACGCCGACAAAGCGGCCATCGTCGCGCACGGCCAGCGAGGCCAGCGACTCGGGCAGCAGCACGCTGCGCTGCAGCGAGCCGTCGCGCCACAGCTGCAGCAGCCCACGCGCCGCGCCCGACCGCGCCAGCGGGTTGGCGATCGTGAACATTCTATAGGCGTCCTTTTCATCTTCTATTAAGCCGAATCTGGAATTGAACATTTACAATGGTAAATTTATAAGTGTAATCTAGAGTAAGTGAGTCCCCCCCACTTCTCCTGGAATACACTTATGAACACACCATTTCCACTGCAGAATGGAATGGAATATAAGATGTAATAGAAGCTTCACACAGACATATCTGAGAGTATATGAGGCTTTATTAAAGGAAAAATATACATAGGGGAAAGGGTTCGTCAGTAATGGTGTCTAACAGCCCCGTTGCTCGCAGTATACCCTATCAGGTCGACCTCCATATGATTTCCTCTGGAAACCAATATGGTTACCTTTTATTTCATCTTCATTTATCATCTTTAACTGCTGCCCCGCCAGCGTATACCTATAACGGAAGCCGATAAAGAAGGGGTTTTTTCATGGGTGAAAATAGATTGGTAACCCCACCCGCGCTATCGGTATACACCGACGATGCACCAGTGGAAGATGATAGGTGAGAATGAATGCATGTCAGTTGGCTCACAATGATGAATTTGACAGTAGGAAACCATAATGGTTAATTGGAGGTGAGGAGGTCAACCTGAGTGGCTATATACCAATCCCAAGAACACTCAGGTTGTGGAACTATATAAGCATGGGGTTCTTTAAAAATATATTGCAGGCGTTCATAGGCTGTAACCGCTTACCATCAGGTGGACCGTATGCTTGTTTGCCACCTCAGTGGTATAAAAAAAATCCTTTGCATCCGAAAACTCATATGCATGGTATGTTATATACTGGATTATATAAGATTAAATATAGCAGTGAAGTTACAGCATATTCACAATGTCTCAATTATCATCAGTTACCCTCAAGTGGAAACTTGTTTACCATCCGAGTGGTATAAGAAAAAAATACAATAGGTATTACAAACCTGCACCTCCTAAATAAATATTTGTTGCCGTTGGGGGGTTGACACGTGAGTTTCAGTAGGGGCGCCTTCTTACTGGCCGTGGACCACACATACGCGAAGCCGTCCTTCGCTATACTCACTAGCTGTGTGTCGCACGGACTGAAGTCCAAGTCGTCTAACTGAAATTTAAACAAACATTTTGAAGATATAAATAGGCAAGAATATATTTGAGAAAAAAATATTCAAATCATTTAAAAAACGGAAATATTTTTTACATGACGATTATTCCGCATTCTACCAAAATGGCATGCAACATATAAATGTATGTAACAATATAAAATTAATATTAAATTGTTATAATAATTTGTAATAATAAAAACAAAAATATTGTCACATACTAATTTAGTCTAGTCTAATATATAAGAAATAAATAAAAATAGAATAAAAGATTCACATTAGCACATTAAAAAATGAAATATTTTTGATATAAAATTAGTTTGCCATCAATTATAAATCGTAATTGTTGACAATATTCTACTTTTGATATCATTTTACTTTTCTTTTACATTTTTTTACAAGTTCAGAATTTATTCTGCTTAAATATATGACAAAAAATATTGTTGAATATAGTGAACGAATTTTTTCTTTCAAGAAAATAATGTATGTGCTCACAAATATAATTAGTAATAGAACAATCAGATGAATTGATCAAATGTAACACTCAATATTCTGTAAATATTTAGTTTATTAAATTATGTCGACCTAAATAATAATGAACTATTAATATATAAAATATTAATAATGATCATTTAATTCAATCAGATAATAATTATTCAATATTAACAAACCTATATTATGTATAAAATGACTTGGTTATAGTATTTTAATAAATTTTGCACACCAGTATTTTGGTGAAACATGTACCTCGTAGTGTACACAACTGAACATCTAATATAACCATGTTTAATGCAAATAAAGAATCTAAATCTGACTAAACACACATATATATAACTATCCAAATGTTTTATAAATATTGTGTACATACACACAAAAAATACACTTTTTTTTTATTATAATAAAATTTGTTTTAACCATCACAAATATTAAAAATGTTTGTTTGTAAAAACCATGTGGATTTCAATGACTTAGGATTCTTTAATAAAACAATAACATGTTATTTTAGTTGTAAACTGTTCATCATAAGTTAATTAATCATATAGGTATTATAAGACCATACATTCTTTATTATACACAAAAGGTTATTAAAATGTAAAAACAAACATAGTAGTGCACAAAGGCGAGCTTATCTCTAATAGAGATTTCTTCCAACAAACCCAATATGAGAAAACTGACAGTTCATTAGTAGTTACAGTCATACATGCGTACCAAAGAGAAATTATTGTGCATTAAAAGACTTCCATTTTCCTTTACAAATTTTAAATAGAACAATATGAAATCCAAATAATTGGCATATTCTTAAGAGTCAGTCCTTTTCTAGCGAAACTAAACATTAGTCCTAAAAAAATAACAATAATTTCTCAACACATTTCTACAGAAAAAATCATGTTTTGAGATAAGTAAGTACAAATAAATACAATTAATTGAGAACCACAGCCCCTTTTTTTTTTTAAGTTGCTTGAAAATGTTTATTTTACCGTTAGAACATTCTATTAAATAATTTCAACTTGTATGATTACATATATTTAACTCTACTAATAGATACTATTAATTCTACATCATTCTTTTACTTTATAAATGGCACAGTGAATAATCATTTTTCATATTTTTTTTAATAAAACAGCTAATAAATACCTCTTTAGTGTGTGCATCCAATATAAACAACAGCTGCATCTTGGGAAAGCTCCAGACCCTCACCCTCCCATCCATGCCACCCGTGGCCATTAATTTGCCATTGTGACTGACCCTCACTACTCGCTGGAGGGGATCATCACTGTCAACAAATTTTTATAGTTTCAAATATTATTTTTCATTTACCAAAGAACTTGTGTACAAGAGTGTAAGAGATCAAAAATCACATAGCCTTTATAAATATTTAAAAAAAAAACTACACAAGGCAATAAATATAACAAGACAATATATATAACAATAAAAAAAAAAAAGTTAAAAATGCAGAAAAAAGTACTTAGTACTTAAATCCAATGTGGAAATTTAGAAGATTTCAAAATAAAACCCTAAAGAAACATAAATATTCTATGATTTAGTAAAATTTCTAAATTACATGAATAAATATCTGCCAATCAACACCACCAAAGGATAGCCAGAGAGAATCAAGTGATATTTGTCTGTTAAACACACATCTCTCACTTGATCTACACTTACATTCATTTCAAACAAACATGCACTGTCAAAATTATCGTTTAATATTATGTTTAATAGGTAATAAATAATGTGTTTCTATTTTTACAATAAACTTTAAAAGGCAAACTAATACTTTTATGATATTCAAATTCAAAGAATGATAGAACAACTGTAATTTTTTGTAGTTACACAAATTCATTATTTATATAATTTATGTTTTGAAAAAAGCAACAGCTGAGTTTCTTTCTGAAATTGTGTTCCATATGGGTGGTAATGAAAAAAAAATTACTATAAAAAATGCTTAAGTTTACTTGAGTAAAAATATTTCTTTCTTTCCTTAACAGATAAAATAGACTCACTTAACCATTTTATGAGAAAGAATGTAAGACAGAAATAATTCATATCTGTGCAATAAAATAATCCAAAAGATACTGTAATTCTCTCACTATACAAAACTAACATAAATTCTAGATTAAATTGTGACTGAAGTTAGAAAACAGCCATCAGGTCACATTCTGAGAAGCCATTTCTCAAAATTGATCTCTTTACCTAATATTTTGATAATTTCACAAAATTACTGTTTCATGAAACATAAATTAAAAATATAATAATTTTGACATAAACATATTAGATAATTATTCATATTACAATAAGGATTTCACTGTAACATCAAATTAAAATTAAAATTTTAAAGATCAATTTATGGAAATTGTTACTCGGAATTGACCCAATACAAGCTCTCTGAATATACCTACTAGCTTATATTAATTGCATGCGCTTACCCAAAATCAGTCTGCACACTGTCTATAGGCCGTATTTCAAAGGATATTCGTTTCTCTGTAGTGTTACTGTTGCTGTCTTTCTTTGATATGTTGTCATTCTCGGAGACAGTGCGTCGCCGACGGCGCACGAGGCCGTTTTCGGCACGGAAACTGCCTCGTCGCATTTCCGCCGCGTCCACCATCCGGATATTCACTTTGTAAAGCTGACAATGACTCTCCTGTCCAGCGGCCAGGTACGTCCGGTTCTGGGCGCTATTCACAGAGCAAGTCATCACTACGTTCGGGCCAGTCTCATGCCGCATCACCTCTTCCGCAACAAACCTGCTTCCATTGTGCGAAATCTCAAATATCTCCTAAAAACAAACAACTAAATAAATAAGTAAAGCCTTTGTTGTACGCCGACCGTGAAAACTTAATTTATTCAGCTCTACTTTCAGTGTAATTCGAATGACACGTATACGGTATAACTTGAATTTAAGAATTGTAAACAAACAGTTACTTGGTTTAACACTCACAAAACCATTCGCGACTCCCGTATTAGAAGCTCCACCGCCTCCGGCCACGAGCACATGACGATTCGTGAGAGTTTGTAGTGTGTACAAAGGGAAATCCACTCGAGCTAAAAGCCCGTCGCATCTGTTGCGGGACATTTTGGCCTATAACATTTAATTTCCCTAGCCAGCACACTTGAAACACTAACTAGCTACTTCATTAGACCACATGAGTTCATCTTAATATACTAGGTAACAAAAATATGTTTTATTATTGAATAATTATAACAATTTCACACATTAAACTTTGTATGAATTTGAAGGAATTCTCCTAGTTCCAACATGACAAAAGTCAACTTGACAGCTGTTGTCAAGTGCATAGTGACGTGCCAACTGCGAATTGTTAATCAAGGATGCGTCAACAACCCTCGATTATGCTAATAGATATTAATAAAATATTAAAATCCGACTAATACTAGTTAACACGTAATATTTAATCTAGTTCTTTTATACAAAAGGCGACAAAGGTCACCTTCGACCACGCCATACAAGTGTATTAGAACTTACTACAAATTGTCACTACAGAACCGACCCCATTACCTATATAGGTACTTGTCCTTGTTTGGTTAATATATATAGAAAATAATTTAAATAATCTAATAGACTCCAGACTATATTCATAGATTTTTTAATGGATGATAATGGAACGATAACCCCGTCTGTGCCAACGGTATACGCTAACGAGGCATCAGTAAGGGATGAAGGGGGGAATTTCAATGGATGACAATGGAATGGCAACCTCGCCTACGCTAACGGTATACGCTGGCGGGGCACCAGTGAGAGGTTTTTTTAATGGGTGATAATGGAATGGTAACCCCGTCTGCGCTATCGGTATACACTGGCGGGGCACCAGTGAAGGATGATAGGTGAGGATGAAGCAAGTTAGTTAGCCCATCATCATGAATACACTTGAAATTCAGTACGATAGTTTCCATGGGGGGATTACGTGAAGGTCGACCTGATAGGGTATATTGCTAGCAATGGGACTAATAGTTCGCATTACTAACAATCCCTCCCCCCCCCCCCCCTCACCGTATTCACAGATTAGAAATTTGACTAAAACATAGTATAACATACTATATACTTTATAATGTTAGGTCTAACAACTTGTATTTTAGTTAATTTTAAACTTTCGTGTTATTTACACATATTTTTAAATACACAATCAGGACTTAACACGATGTAAAAGCTTTTACAGGTAAATAATATTTACATACCTGCTTCTTTATTGCCGACGTTTCGACATGGATTGCACCACGTCGTAGACACGACAGGACTGAAGTAGGTACTATTTACCTGTAAAAGCTTTTTCATCGCGTTTAGTTTTTTTTTTTTATACAACTTAGAATGGCAAATAAGCTGTCAGCTCAAAACGTGGTGACCGTCGCCTATAGACATGCGCAGTAGCATGGACATAACAGAGTATACTGTTTCGCCCATGATACCCCCATGGGTTTCCATTCCTGAGGACTCAGGTGTTATTACTCTGTACCCAGTAAATTCACGCCATATCCCACCCTTCAAACCGAAACACAGCATGCAAACACAACTGCTTCACAGTTGAAACCCGAATGGGACGGAGGTACCCAAGCAATCGACTTTTGTACAGTCTCTCTCTGGATTGTGTATTTAAAAAGTTGTATTTTCTTTATTAAATCCTATACTTCGGTATTTTTTTTAAATTACTCTTGTTTTCGACACGATTCCATAACTCAATTATTACCTACCTTTGCTTCTTGAATATTATTATAGGTATACACTCCACAATAAATGTTAGGTATCAGTAAAACCACAAGTTATTTTAAACAGCGTGTGTTTAATTAAATACATTTTGTCCATTACTTGAAACAACAAAATTGGTCGCTTTGGAAAAACTCTCGAAACACATACACACGTATCATACATGTAATGTCGTATTAAAAATTATATTATCATATTAAAAAATTATACATATTTTTAGTAAAAATACCAACGTCTGCATTTTCTGCCACTTTTCAAACAGAATTAACGATTTTACATATATTAAAATAATTATTTACATGTCTATCTTTCCGCTAAGTCCATTGTGAAGTGAGGTATTTTATCCACCGTGTACAAAATACATAAATATTTACATAATACTTAATACAATCAGTTTATGGGATATCAATTGCTTTTTAATGTATAATTTTATGTAAAACATTGTAACAAAATGTATACTAATAAGAACACTCACAAACCAAATTAATAAATACAATGCTTTTTATTTTTTTATTTTGGGTTATATTATATCAATCAGTCAATCAAACTGTCATTTATTTAAAAATCCAAAATATTAGGAAACAAAGTATCTAAAACAAGAATCACATAAAACCTAATCTGGACATTGCCAAATGACAATATTTGGTATAAATACCCCTAAATATTTAATATAAATTTTAAAATCAGTAATTACAAATTAGCCAAAACGATATCTTTAAAAACAAAAACAAAAATTACATCCAAAACTTTTTTATAAAAATTAAATACTAGTCTTTTGAAATTATACATCGTTTTAACATTTGAAATTCATACAAATTAATCAAAAACAGGAACTTTTTCAAGTCTACTGAAAATAAATATGGCAACCCTGCAATGAACGCAGCAAGATATTATAGTCATTGGACAACTGTTGCTCCTTATACTGTGACATTTTTTATGATAGAATAGTAAATAAAATGACAGCCCACCTCATGGAAAGTGGTAACTGTCATCTATAGACATAAACAGCACTGTGGAGTCATCACAGAATGCACTGTGATAACCAAAACACATCTCATGTATTGTCATTCAACACTATGGTATTACGTACCCTAAGAACAAGGCATTACATAGAAGGAATAATAAAACTGTAAATCATATGGTTCCCTCCTTTCTTCTTATGCAAATATAATTAGAAAAAAGAGGACGAAAGATACACCATCAATTGCTATTTTTCTCAATTCATAGCGGACTAGTGTATACAAAAAATGTTTGATATGTCAATTATTTGTCAATGACAAATTTTATATTACTAGATTATATATTAGATACAGTTTATGTAGAACGTATGTAAGCAGGTTGTATCTGAATTTGGTAGGGTTATACGGCCGTGTAACATTTTCTATACACTAGCTTGCTGTGAAGTTTTTATTTTATCATTCCTTCTATGTAATTCCTTGTTCATAGTTACGCACCTGTTCCCTGTAATAGCCGTATCACTGGCACTAGTATGTGAATATGATGGACCGTATGAGCGCGTCGCGTACGGAGTCGCTGCTCTGTCCGATGCCGAAGTTGAAGTACACGCCGTCGGTCTCTACCTGCAGCGCGCATATGCCGGTCGGGTACCACCCTGCTTTGTTGAATACTATGCCCACTTTGTATACCTGTCACATATAACATACATATAAATTGAGTTTTTACTATATAACTACACATTGCTGACAAGATACCCTATTAGGTCTACCTTCATTCCACGATGGGTTAACTGACTTGGTATTATCCTCATCTATCTATCATCCCTCTCTATCATTAAGCATTGTTTAGTTGGTATTTAATCGACTTCAAAATGGTAGTTCCCAACTTGGTTATATTTTTTTTTTATGTTTACCTCATACCTATATTACCTCATAACTCCATCATCTCTAAACCGATTTGGAAAACGTTTTTGTTTTTATCTGAAAAAAATATAAGATTGGTCCCATAGAAATTTTATCAAAATTAATAGTTCAGTTTTTAAATAAAAAATAACTGTTTTTTTTTTCACAATTGAAAACTGTTTTTGTTTGTGGGATACGATCCTTTATTTATTTATTATTTCTCATCACAAACAATTAAGGATTAATATTAATAATATGCAACTTAATATGCAACCTGCAGAACATTTTAACAATATTATTTGTAGGAGCTGGTGCCTGTACTAGGTATATATATATATATATATATATATATATATATATATTTAATTATTATAATAAGATCACATTATCTTTTTTAGTCATTCTCTCCACCTAGACTGCAGGGCGCGGTGTGAGGTGCGGCGGCGCGGCGCATACCTTGTTCCTCTGTATGTAGACGGGCCTGTTGAACATGATGTCGAGCAGGTGGCGGTAGGGTACGCGGCTGGTATAGTGGGTGTAGGTGAGCCGCGCCCCGTCCGCGTCCAGCAGGTGCGCGTACAGCAGCTCGCTGTAGCCGTCCGCGCTCGCCCCCGCGCCCACCGGCCCCGCCCCGCCCACCCCGCCCGGACCACTCGCCCCGCCCGACGGGCCCAGCGGCAGCGCGCTTTCCATGCTTGGCGCTTGCGTTGGAACCTGTCCATTATAAATACAATGCCATCATGCCGTTTAAGGGGGAAAGAGATCGTTAGTAATGAGGTCAGATAGCCCCATTGCTAGCAATATACCCTCTCAGGTCGACCTCCACGCGGTTTCCTCTGGAAACCATCATGATTAATTCTTGTCGAATTCATCATGGTGGGCCAACTGACCTGCATTCATTCTCACCTATCATATAGCGCGGGCGGGGTTACCATTCCATTTTCACCCATTAAAAAAAACACAGCGTTCATACTGAAGATAGATATATATATATATATATATATATATATATATATATATATATATATATAACGCATGGGCGGGTATCATGGGCGAAACAGTATATTCTGTTATGTTCATAGTACTGCTCATGTCTATAGGTGACGGCTACCACTTTCCATCAGGTGGGCCGTCAGCTTATTTGCCATTCTAAGTTGTATAAAAAAAAAGGCAGTATACATAATTTTACATTAAAAAAAAATATAAACAGAAACTAAATTATGTACATTATTTTACACAATGGCAATATAGTATATATATATTAAGCTGTACATATGTATGCGGGCCGCAGCGGTACCTGGACGCCGAGCAGGCAGATGTTGCGGTCGACCATGAAGGTGACGCAGCAGTCGAGCACGCTGGTGTTGTAGCAGTCGGTATGCTGGATGATGGCGCGCGTGCAGTACAGCTTGCTGATCTCCAGCCGCGCCGCCTCCGCCGCGCCCGCTGCGCCTGCACGAGGTCCTGCCATGCGTTCAAACCTCTGTCATTCATATACCAACAAACTCCCTCGAATTTTTATTATTTGCATGTACTTCATTGTCATTTACCACATTCATATGCTTTCTCTATATAATTTAACATTGTTTGCCGACTGCTTTAACCATGCTGTGTGTACACGTGTCTGGGTCTCAATCTAGTTCAACTTGTTATCTTTATATAAATATTTATAATGTTATTGATTGGGGGAATTAGTAGCAATTATTATATATTAATAATTAACCATGATAGTTTCCAGGGGGAACCGCGAGGAGGTCGACCTGGTTGGGTATATTGCTAGCAATGGGATTCTCAGTCTCCATTACTAACAATCCCTTTCGCCCCAGCGTATAGACGTTAAGACGGACGAAATCATTATTCCATTATCACCCATTAAAAAAAACTGATAGATGTCATTCTGTCAAAGGGTATATAATTAAGTTTTTTTTTTAGAAAAAAGTATCTTGTTAAATATTAAACTGTCGTGTTTAAGTTTTTTTTATCTCGTTTTTTAGTATGCGACTGCCATCATATATAATTTCTTTAATGGGTGATAATAAAATGATAACTCCACCAGCGCTAATGGTACACACCAGCGGGGCACCAATAAAGGATGATAGGTGAGGATGAAGCAGGTCAGTTAGCCTATCGTGACGAATTCAACAAGAATTGTTCACGATGGTTTCCAGGGGGAACCACATAGAGTGGTCAACCTAATAGGGCATATTGCTAGCAATGGGGCTGTCAAACTCCATTGCTAACAATCCCTTTCCCCCCGCCATTATATACAGTGTAAAGAGCTGACCTTCGTGGCGCGTAGGTCTAGGGTAGTGCTGCAGGCCGGGCCCGGAGAGGACGGCGGGGGCGGCCGGGCCGCCGAAGGGCAGCACGGGCCGCGATACGTCGAACACCAGGTCGAGCGGCACAGGGCTCGGCGTGTCCACGCTGAACGGTTGCATGCGACACCCTGCCGCCAGCGACTCCTCGCGCTGCCCGTACGTAAATATATTAACAAATATTTCATAGTCTTGTTGTAAATATAGCAATATTTATTATATAGGAAAGAAGAGATTCAGCCCATTGATAGATAAATAGATTACTTACAGCACACTAACAGCAATAGACATAAATGCACAGTGAAAAAAGTTAAAAAAAATACATATACAAAAAATAAAAACATAATGCATAAAATAAGTAACAATTTTCCCCCTTCACGCGTGTGCCACAGTAACACAAAATGGTCACAACTCAATTTATTACTTAGCCCTAGAAAGAGCAAAACACTAATAATCTGTCGTGGCCATTGCTACGATAGACGTTAACTATGGCAACATCAGTTATTTTTGTTTTTGACATAAAACAATTGAAATTTTCTCAAATGTTTGTTAGGATTTCGGCATGACTAAGTGGTACCGACATAGAATGGGCCATCCCTTCCTTTCCCGTGAGTATCGTAAGAGGCGTCTAAGAGAACTTGACGGTCGATGGATGGGCAGCAGCATCTCTTAAAACATCACCAAAGCCTTACTGCGGTTGCCAAGTGTGGCATCAACTAACAAACTCCACCTTTATGGGGTAAGCCTATGTTCAGCATTGGACAGTTAACGGCTGATATGATGATGATGATGATGAATTGACTCACGCTAGTAGTAGATCCTCCGCCGATCAGCTGTTTCCTTGGAACTCTGCAGGTGGAGAAGCCCTGTGGCATAGGGATGTCGCAGTTGCTAGAGAGAATGTTCATTAGGACGGCGAAGGACTCGGAGTCAGTGAGGAGCGAAGACCGCGCAGGGCCCTCGGCGAACTGCTGCGGAGTCAGCGTCAAGAAACGAATCTTCTCCACTGCGTTGCGTATTGTTAGCTTGTCTTTATTCACTGAAATTACAAAAATTATAAATTACAATAAATAAATATGTCTTCATAAAGGAATGTCTACCAGAGGGAGACTTTGTACAAAAGTCGATTGCTTGGGTACCTCTGTCCCATTCGTGTTTCAACTGTGAAGCAGTTGTGTTTGCATGGCTGTGTTTCGGTTTGAAGAGTGGGATATGGCGTGAATTTACTGGGTACAGAGGAATAACACCTGAGTCCTCAGGAATGGCAACGCATGGGGGATATCATGGGTGAAACAGTATACTCTGTTATGTCTATGGTGCTGCTCATGTCTATAGGCGACGGTTACCACTTTTCATCAGGTGGGCCGTCAGCTTGTTTGTCATTCTAAGTTGTATAAAAAAAAAAGTCTACTTCCAATATTAACCACTAACACTTTTAGATCTAATTCATATGTCTGCTGCATTGTTGTATTCGACAATGCATCATTTGCAATTTGAGCACTGAACAGTACTAGCACTAGGTTCTGAGTAGAGATAAGTTTAAAAAGCATACCTTCTCTATTCTTCTTATTATCATCAGGAATATCCGATGATACACTGGACACAGGTGTATCACTGGACTTGCATGATTCTGTAACTGCCTCCGGGCTATTTTCTGCACTGCTCTCAACATTTACCACCTAAAAATCGTGACTAAATAAATTCATTATTGCTGATATTAGAACTACATTCTTAGTGAAATTAATTAATTTCAAAGATAATCAAATGTAATAATTATTACTACATAAATTTTTTTTTAATTAAGAGTGAACAAATTTTTTTTTTTTTTTTTTATGCAATCAAATATGTTTATATTCTGAAGTGTTGTGTACTAAAGTGAGAAATTTACATCAGATGTGCCCTCAACTTGAATGCCAACCTAAGTTGCATAAAAAAAAAAAATTTTTTTAGTATACAGTAAGTAGTTAGTAAGTTTACCAGAGGGAGACTTTGTACAAAAGTTGTTTGCTTGGGTATCTCTGTCCCATTCGTGTTTCAACTGTAAAACAGTTGTGTTTGCATAGTTGTGTTTTGGTTTGAAGGGTGGGATATGGTGTGAATTTACAGGGTACAGAGGAATAAAACCTGAGTCCTCAGAAATGGCAAAGCATGGGGAGTATCATGGGCAAAACAGTATACTCTGTTATGTCCATGGTACTGCTCATGTCTATAGGCGACGGTTACCACTTTCCATCAGGTGGGCCGTCAGCTTGTTTGCCATTCTAAATTGTATTAAAAAAATACAATATAAAGGATTTTCTTTTATTATTTTTAAATTGGCTAATTTCGCTTCATGAGCCTAAAATGGCAGTCTGTACCTTGTCAACATCTGATACTTTCTCAGCAGAAGTTGAGGGGACAGGACTCTTTGACCTCTTCTCTGATGGTGGACCATAGTCAGGAGAGGCTGTATTTCTTTCCATGTTCCGTTTCTGTGCCTTAGCATAGCGTACTGCTGCCTCAAACAAGTCTAACTCACTATCCACATTGAGGTGGTCAAGTGAAAACAGTGTAACCACTGTGCTCAGGTCCACCTCCTCGAAACTACTATCTTTAAGTACCTCTTTAGTGTTGGTGCTGATTATCTGAAATTTGGAATGCATTTATAAATATAAAGTCTTTATTTCTGAATTATTTTCCTTCTTCTATGTTATAATTGGAGCTAGTTATGCAGGAAATAGTAACATTATTTGGGACATATACAAGAGATAGCTTTTTTCCGCATAATTAGTCCCAATTATCACTAGTACCTTGACATTTGACAAATCTATGTTTAATATATGTTTTTTTGATGTCTCTGACATAAGTTATGTAACTTAACTCACTCAGGCTCACTGTAATAATATTATGTATATATAGCAGACATCTATTGTAACATTATGGAATACAAATAAACAAATGAAATGAAGCTAAAATGTAGCAGAGGAAAATATAGAATTGTAATGGTATAAAATAATAATAACTAACTATACTAGCCTATACTAATGTATGTTCACATAACAAATTACTATATCTCAATAGAATGAGTTATTTTACTGCAATAAAAAGTTTACAATATTTTGGGTCTGCAGACTCAGCATAAGTTATTGCTATATCTAAAATTTCATCTAGCATTTTGTATATGATGCCTACACAGCCTTACTTTAATTACAATTTTATTAATATAAATAGATAATAAATCGAATTAGTAATGAGGAGGTCCTGCTTAGGGTTAAGGAAAAGAGACAAATTATAAGAACTATTGAGGACAGAAGGGAAAAAATGTAATAAATAATTAGCAATAAAGAATATTTAATATAATAAATTTGCACAAACCTGTATACACTTTTCCATTAGAACATTCTCCTCAAAGAGACGAGCAAACTCATAAGCACGGCAGGCATTCTTTGGGTACAGGTCAGACCACAGATATGTTGTACATTCCTTGACTAGATGGGGCAACATATATTTTTTTGCCCCATAACAAAGCTCACATGCCTTGTCAAATGAGCTTATATTTATATTTTCTGTATATATGTATCTGAAAGAGAACAATGTATACAATAGACTGAAGTTATTTTATATTATATAAATAACCAGCTATCTATATCCTGAGGCCTGTATATCCTACATTTTGATTAATAATATCCTATGCATTAACCCAATCTATCTTTTTTTTATGCAATTTAGAATAGCAAACAAGCTAAAAGTCCACCTGATGGAAAGTAGTAACTAATGCCTACAGACGTTAGTACATGGCTTAATTGTATATTATAACATTAGTAGGGTAGGATAAGATTTATTATTCAACTTACTCTAGAAGAGCTTTAAAAGCGTCTGGCTGCACATCCAAAATAGGTATGGGATCATTCCTTTCTGCCATGCCACCGTAGAACATTGCTTCGAATACAGGCGATGCCATCGCTAGGATAAGCTTATGGCCTGCAATGGTTACTTGGTTGGGCTCCGTGCCCACTAGGAACGTGCAATCAGACCATTGACCTGTCTGGAGAAGATTAGCACCTCGCTGTTTCATCTCCACGCATCCTAACTGCCAATCGTTAGGCACTCCTGCCATTTTCACTAAAGAATTTAATATAAAACCTATTTAAGCAGGTACTAATTTTAAGGTACCTATACTGATCCCCGACAAAAGATAAAAATAAACAATAACAATAACAGTCCTACTACAAACGTTCCTTGACAAAAATAAAATTGATTGACGTACTGACTGACTGTGACAAATGACATAACTTTGACCTTGAACAGTTTATCGAGATTGATATACATAAAAAAATTATAAATTTAAAATATAAATGCAGTAAAGTTAAAACAAAATACAGTAAAAATATAAAATAGATTATTTATAGTAGGATAAAACATTAATTTTAATTAACGCTACCTACATTTTTAATGATTTAATGAATTAGAAAAGTAGGCAAACTGTCTTTGTAAATTTATAAAGTTACTAAATGTGTTTGAAGTTAAAAAATTTAAAACTAAATTCGTATATTTATTATGTTTAGATTATTCAATTAACAATGATCGAACGAAATGTATTGATATCTATCTAGTTAACGGTTTTTTATTATCATTGAAAACTAGTAATATTTTGTTATTATTTGATTATTTAACTACTATACAAAAACACCATCTGATAGTAGTCTATTTTTTTAATGTCAAGCAAACTGTCAAATTAAATTGACGTATTTTTATGTGAACAATGTTGAAATTATGTTAAAACTAATTGTATCATTAATTAAAAGGCTTTCCAAACAAAATGAATTACGAGGAAACGAAATCAGTGGTACAAGAGAAATTTCTTTCAAGTGAAAGAGTAACAGCGTTTCTTTGTGATGCGAAAGTACTCCATCCCGAATGGGTAAAGAAGGATAGATTGCTGTGCATTGTAGAATATGGAGACGAGAAGGCCGTGTTTTGTTTATTCACATCTAGTTACCCACCTAAATCCTTCACGGATTTGTCTATCGAAATAGTGCTTCCCATCGACAACACCTTCAAATGTGAAATTGATAACAAACCATCAGATCCTGAAGCGGTGTTATACCTGAATTTGCAGTCACGTAATAATAAGTTTAAATTCGAAATTCAAATGACACCGCGTGTGGACAACTTCGTGGATGATCTTTTCAGAGGTATTGAAGCTGTAAGTAAAGTGCCAACACAGCCTGAATTTGTCTGGCTAAAAAAGTATCATGGTAAAGATGAAGATGATATTATTACTCAGTTCTCAGTTATACCTAGAAGTGGCGTCGCTCACGCACAGAACTCTGCACCTGTGGCCATTAGAGAGAGTCTTATTAAACGAAAAATGTATGACAAGGAACTTGAATACACTTTTACTAAGAAATTCACTGTTTTCTGTGGTACATGGAATGTCAATGATAAATCACCAGTTATACCACTCGAAGGCTGGCTCAGTGTAGATAGAGAACCACCTGATATATATGCAGTTGGTTTTCAGGAACTTGACTTGTCCAAGGAGACATTTCTCTTTGATCAAACATTCAGAGAAGATGAATGGTACAATGCTGTTATAAATTATGTGGATAGACGGGCAAAATATGTGAAGTTGGAGAAAGTAAGACTAGTTGGTATGCTACTGATAGTACTTATCAAGCAGAAATATATATCTCATGTCCGTAACGTAGTTTGTGACACAGTGGGTACAGGAATTATGGGGAAAATGGGAAACAAAGGAGGGGTGTCCATAAGATTTGACCTTCACAATACATCTATGTGTTTTGTAAATTCACACCTGGCTGCCCATGTAGAAGAGTATGAGAGAAGAAATCAGGACTTCAGAGACATTTGCAATAGGACAAGGTTCTTACAACCAAATCAGCAAGCCAAAGCAATAAAAGACCATGACCAAATATATTGGATAGGGGATCTGAACTACCGTATTACAGACTTGGATCCAAACACTGTAAAGCAACTCATCAAAGACAACAATTTTGAGAAAATTTTAGAATGGGACCAACTTAAACAACAGCATAAAAATAACAACGTGTTTGCTGGCTACACAGAAGGTCCCATTACATTTAAACCAACTTATAAATATGACCCAGGCACTGACAATTGGGATTCAAGTGAGAAAAATCGTGCCCCAGCTTGGTGTGATAGAATATTTTGGAAAGGGGAGGCTATTTCTCAGTTAGCATATAGAAGCCACCCTGCTTTGAACATTAGTGATCACAAGCCAGTGTCTGCTACATTTAGCTCATCAATCAAAGTAATAGATGAGGAAAAATATAGAAAGGTTTATGAAGATGTTATAAAACAACTTGATAAACTTGAGAATGAACTAATACCACAAGTCAAAGTTGATTTGACCGAAATTGATTTTGGTACAGTGAAGTACCTTGAACTGCAAGTGCGGACGATCACAATAAAGAATATTGGGAAGTTGCCCGTAGAGTTTGAATTCATTAAGAAATTAGATGAAACAAGTTTTTGTAAGGAATGGCTTATTGTGGAGCCTTACAAAAAATGTATTTGTGCTGATGAATCATGTGAAATCCAACTTAAAGTACTTATTAATAAGACTTCTGCTTGCAAAATCAATGCAGGAACAGATAAATTGTATGACATATTAGTATTGCATTTATATGGAGGAAAGGATATCTTCATAACTGTAACTGGGACATACCAAAGGAGTTGTTTTGGATGTTCAATAGAGGTTCTAGTGAACCTCAACAAGCCTATAAAAGATGTACCTGTTGGAAAACTAATCGAATTAGAAAATAAGAGGGACCAGTGTGTGTCAAATCAGTCCACATACTCTATACCCAAGGAGATTTGGTTCCTGGTTGACCATATATATTTACATGGGCTCAAGGAGCCAAACTTATTTGAACAACCTGGACTGCATTCTGAAGTTTTACAGATTAGGGACTGGCTAGACTCTGGCTCTGTGGATCCAATCCCAGGCAGTATTCATTCAGTCGCTGAAGCTCTCTTACTGTTATTAGAAAGCACCGCAGACCCAATTATACCATACAATCTTCAGTCCATATGTTTAAAAGCATCTGCAAATTATTTACAATGCAAACAAATTGTGATGGAATTACCGGAATTTAGGAAAAATGTATTTTTATACTTGTGTGAATTTTTGCAAGAAGCGTTGCAACATAGCGCTGAAAATGGATTGGATGCCAAGACGTTGTCCACACTTTTCGGTGAAATTTTCCTTAGAGATAATCCAAATCAAATCCAAGAGCCCCAATCTCGAATCAACAAGCAGGTGATAGACAAGAAAAAAGCCCAGTTTGTACATCACTTTTTAGTTAATGATCACAGTGACTTAATTTTTACTAGATAATCTATTTCTTCTAATTAATTAGCTAATTTAATAGCTAAGCTAATATTTTAATTTATTAATCCAAATACTCAATACTTTTCCATTAGTATTAAAATTATGTTTTATTTATTTTTAATGCCATGATCACAAGAGTGTTATAACAATGAGGATCAGTCACATAAGATTTTTTTTTAAGATAGATTTACAGTTTTGTATGTTTCCTTTTAGCTCATATTTAAATTACTTTTACATTGATGAATATTTTTCTCGACAATTTTATATATTTCAATTCATATCTTGATATAATCTTTGTTTTTTATAGTGACACAGTGCATGTACTATAAATTACTGAGTACTACTGTAAATCTTTTGGAGGGAATGTTAAAGAATATCTGGGTATATCTATCTGTTTTGTTATATTGAAATCCATCAAGACATGTCAAACTTATTAAAGTTTAATATTAAATTTTTAATGGCTACTTCTAAATGCGTGTTCACACTTAATTCTCTATATTGACGTTAGAGATAGGACTTGTGTGTTCTCATTTACCCATTTCCAAGGTCGTCGTTAACTCAATTAAGTGTAATCAATCTGGAAATATTGATAAATACCTAATTATTTTCTGAAAATGGACCATTATAATTCTGACATCGCCACACTTCTAGTGTGAACACAAAATAAAACTTGACTGATCCTTAATTGTCTAATTTGTACATACTATATTAAATATTGTATGATTTTTTAGTTAATGTTATTTCCTAAGGTTATTTCTCCATTAGTAACAACATAAAAAAACATAATTCTAATGAATATAACCCCAATATAAAACCTAGTTGAATAGATAATTGGGGGTTTTAGTACCTAATATAAAATATATATATTTTTTTTATATTAACTGTAGCTTTAATAATATAAATATTTTTAGCCCCTACCTGTCTGTGTATGTAAATTTTAGATGTGATTTAATAATCATATAGAAATTTTATGATGTTTTGTATTATATATTGCGTGCGGAAACCAATGTTTTTGCTAAAGCATGCCAAATCTGGTTTGCCATAAAACAATCACACTATTACAATAATAGAACATACATTTATAATATTCATATGTATAGTCTAATTCAATAGAATGTAATAAACAGTGAATTTTCACAGTTATTAATATTGTCTAACTGATTTCAGTTAATTTTTAGTCATTCTCTTTGTATATTTTGCAATTTATAAGAAATAGGAATTATCATGAAGTAAATTAGTCTACACGTGACCATGGCTGGTGTAACCTGGTCGAAATGTCGAGATATTAAAAAAAATAGGCAAACTATGAGAATTTAAAAATAAATTCTCATAGTTTACCTAAATGATCGTATTAATTCCCATTTTTTATAACCACAGACAATTTTAAATGTCACAGATACACTCTCAAAGTGAAATCGGTAACAAATCTATACATTCAATCAATCAATGTTGTGGGACATCATGGGCGGTAGTAGTCACGTAACATCAGGAGAGCTACTTAGTCGTTTACCCCCTGTATTATTAAAAAAAAAAAGTAATATTTTTTTTATATTATTAATGGCCACTTATGGTAGAATCAAAAATTTGATTTTTTAATTTTTTATTAAGTTCTATTGAAATTGTCCATAGATAATTGTCTACATATGTCTAAGGTAATAAAATCATAGACTTTGTAATTTTTTTATTGAAATTGGAATTTCTAATTGTACTGCCATGACTTTGTCTTCTAATTATATTAGTTTTCTATACTTGGCATAAATTATAGACAATTGAATATATTTTTATTGAAATAACAGTATATAAAATAATTAGTTGGTTAAAAAAGTTCTTATATTAATTAGTACTTTTCTAATTTATTTTTATATGACAAAATTCGATAAAAAGACATACTAAGATTGATTCCTATGTTAAGTATAGAAAAACGATCAGGGTCCCATCCATGGTGTAGTGGGGGTTTCCGTATTCCATAGTCTGATTCAGTAAAATTTTATGAAATTTTTATATACAAGTTTGATTGCAATTATCACAAAAACACTAAATTAAATAAATAACAAATCAAAACATAAAATTAGTTTTGTTTATTTATTATACATATTCTTGCACATTATATCTCATTATTATTATCTGTGTATTATAACACTAATTAGTTGCCTTGTGTTTGTGTAGTCCATGGAGATGGGGCACAGGTGACTTGTAACACAGGTTCTTCAAAACCTACCGCAAGCACCAGTCTCTCACAAAATTGGTCTTCATATTAAATTGTACCTCAAGTTGTCACTTTATACTACCTTTTGTGAAGAGAAAATAAACCATTCATTCATTTACAAATAGAATCTTATAAAACAATGTTCTTGGAATATAACATAAACTAAATCTACAACTTCTGTACATTGCGTATTCGCCGATAGGTACTAATACCTTATACAATAATATCAATTGAGGGTTTTTTTTTTTGATGAGTGAAAATGGTATGGTAACCCCGCCTGCGCGAACGGGATAAGCTGGCGGAGCACCAGTGAAGGGTGATAGATGAGAATGAAAACAGGCCAGTTAGCCCATCATGATGAATTCATCAGGAATTAACCATGATAGTTTCCAGGGGGAACCGCGTGGAGGTCGACCTGGTTAGGTATATTGTTAGCAATGGAATTCTCAGTCTCCATTACTAACAATCCCTTTCCCCCCAATTGAGGGTATTTCTGGATAATTATATTGAATGTTCATCGTGTAAAATTAATATTACTTACCGCCATGTAAATATTTTTTAAATAAACTATTAAACAATTATTGATTTGTACTACCATTGAACAATAGCAGTCTTCTAGTCGGATGGATTATTCGTTTGTGTACATCTTGTATTAACTTCTATTGAAACGCACTATATTGTACTTAAATCTCAGTACATACTTTCTTGTCGTTGATACGACGTACGAAGGAGTACCTATCTGTGGCATGTTACATTGTACGTATTCACTAATGTACTCATAACTAAAATAATCGTGATCGTAACGAAAATGGTATTAAAATAAAAAAAAAATGGTTAGTGGTGAATATATAATAATTTAAAACGGAGTTAAAATATAACATTGTGCGTGTGTATGTGCCCTTGGCCCGGCGTGCCAGTTATTTATACCTGCATATAGGCAAACACACTTGAAGGACTTTACAATGATAATATAATTAATCTCATCTTAATTTCATATTAATCTTCAACACATGTACCTATCTACGTCAGTAAATATTTTGTGACTTACGTTATAATATATTTGTGTAGTATAATATAATATGATTTGTGTAAGTTAGGTACCTATTTACTATTCTTAAGACGAGCATAACATGTTTAAAAAAATTGGCAATACATATGTATATAAGCATATTTGAGAGGAGACCAGCCAGAATGAGGAATTAAGCATTTAGCTATTAGAAAAGATAACTCGAGAGTGCATATGCCTATTTTTAAAGGGACAAGCCGCCCTGGAAAATAATCTTAAATATGTCAATACAACTGCATAATAAATATATTAATAATTGGATTGGACTTTCCTGATTTAACCGTAACTAAAACAAGATTTTGTTTATCATTGCTTAATATATAAACAATTTAAAAGCTGCTGAAAAAAATATCTCGCTATTCAATTATTTCATTAGACACTTAAATGAATTATTATTCTGTGTAAATCTGAATAAATTTTCCTCTTTTATTTATATGTATATACCATTATTTATATTAGTAGATAGGTATCTAAACCGATACATTAAATTAATTAATTTTAGCAGAATTATTTATATACTCTAGCATTATTATTCATTGATTATATTATGTCATCACAATTAATGTAATAAATAATTATATGTATACACACAATTTAATTGGAGCCGGTTTTAAGGTACCATTCCGTAAAATTAATATTTTAATTTGATATTTAACCGAAACTTGTTACAGGCCATGAAGAAGTATTTGCGACTTTATTGTAACGTATAAAAATGTAAAAAAAAAAGTTTTTTTTAATGGCACGTATTCTAATTTCCATATTCGAACTGTTGTCAGAACTGATCGATGCGGGATAGTAAATTCCGAAGATAAATTCTATAGCCTCGATGTTCTCGTATATTTAATTGTAGGTATACTACTTAAAGTAGTATAACTATGAATTAGTACTAATTTTAAAAATTGAACATAAAACATTGGCGTGTTCAACCCGAAACGCCAAGACCTGTGCCCGTTTTATTCTTAATTTGGCCAAATCAAAATCAAATCCGAGACCTCAGTTACGCGATGTGCCAGTACTCTGCCACCGTTTTAAAATAACTTATTTAAAAATAAAAAATGTTCTTTCCTTTTTTATTTAATGTTTGTATTATTAGCAAGTCGGAAGCTAAATTCATAATGGTATATATATCTATCTATGGTAGTCATAACTTTTAGGAAAGTAATAAAGCCTATTAAGGCCGTCCGATTTATATGTATTTACGATTATTATTGCTTTCCCCCTTGACCGAATTGATCTGATATAATAGTTTTTTCCTGCCAGTAGATACCATAGATAAAATTATACTTTTTCTATATTACAGTGATGATACCTAAGGAAAAAGGAAAAGTTCTATACGAAATATGTATTTATTTTTTATGTGACTAATAATAATAATATGTGATGTTGTCTTATAGACAATTTGTTATTAATTTATTAAATTATTAAATATATCTATAGATGTGACTTGTAATAATCACCATGACAACTATCACCCTCACCATAAAACAATAGCAATAAATGTAATGTACAATGCCTGTGTTTTTTTTTTTTTTTTTTCTTTCTTATGGCACGGCACAAAGTGCATCCGCCAAAAACAAAGTTTGGGAAACAGCATTTTAGTAAAAGAGTTTTGGACGACGGAGATTAGGATAAGGATCAGAAAAGTTGAATAGTGAATAATACAAGGAAAAGGACAGATACCTAAATAGATATTACAATATATTTAACATTAAAAATATACATATATATGTAAAGTACATAAAATAAGAAAATTTGCAACTTACTATTATTGATAAGAATAAAAGAGGAAACCAAATAATATACTTCTAAATTATCAAGAAACAATAATACTGGAACTGATGTAGGAAAGGGAATACGGAGGGAAAGGAGGGAATTGAAAAGAACAGAATGGTCATAGAGAAGACAATTTAGGATATTCAAATCACCCATATCTGAGGACTCATTCTATTATCTATTATATCTATTTAATAAACATGTCAAACAAAGGTTTGTACATGTTTATTAAATAGATTAAATCTGTTTTTTTACTAACTGCACTACGGCAGTTCCACTGCAGAACTTTGGCTTGGTTGTCCGTTCTTTTTATTATTTAAAATATTAATGAATGCATTTGAAAGAGAAGCAACGTTGGACGGTGGAATGATATTAAATTGTGTTAATAAATTTAAAAGAGCTATTACTATTTCAGAAATAGATTGTTTAGATTCATCTTGCTGTTTATAACCACATCCATCTGCAGGAGCAGGAGGATTGTAGTCTTTTGTTAAAGTGATATATTCATTACGATCAAACCCATAGGAAGGTTTTGGAGGACGACGAATTTTTTCTATGACAGTTTTTTTATAAGATTTATTAGAATGAGGAGAAATTACATTATGAATCCCATTCTGGTTTGAGTTTACTGTACTATTTACAATAACTGGATTAGATCTTAGAGTGTCAGCATATGATTTAATAGAAGGAGCATGCAATTTGCTTGCTTCAGCATAAGAGATACAACTTTTAGCCATTGTTTCTTTAATTGCCTTTTGCCTTGAAAATTCTGGACATTTTTTACTGTTTGCCTGGTGAGCACCTTGGCATAAACAGCAGTAAAAATCTTCTTCATGAACAGAACAAGATTCTCTAGAGTGGCCCTGACCACACTTATAACAACGTGGAACAGATCTACATTGATTTTTAATATGGCCATACCTACAGCAATTATAACACTGAATGGTAGGGTATATGTACAAATCAACAGGCAATGAATTATAACATATGAAAACTCGCTTAGGTAACACTTGACCATCAAAAGTTATAACAACGGATTCAGTCATTACAAATTCAGATTTACCGTTAACAAGAGATTTTCTCTTTAAACGCCTAACTTTCAAAATTTTGCCACAACCTAATGGAACTGAAACATTTTCTATAATTTCCTCATCAGACCAGGCAGTTGGGATGCCCCTTATTATTCCCATCCTTGTTAAATTGAATGTTGGTATAAAGGCTTTATAATTATGAGATTTTAAATCCATACTATTTATAAAAGAATTAGCATCTGTATAATTAGAGAAAGCTAATGATAATCTATTTCGCCCTATCTTTTTCAGACTACCATCAATTACATTTTTAAAAGGATTTTTCTGAAGGAAACGTCCAAAGGCTATTGGGTGAAGTGTAGAATTATCATCCGGGGATGATAAAACTTTTTGTATGTGAACGGTGAATGGAGCAGAATTATGAGGTTCATAATAAACTCTACTAATAAAGTTATGTGGACGAGATGAGTCATTCTCCTGTTTATTTATTAAATTATTGTTAGAAGATTGTTGCTGCTTTTCCTCGTTGAATTGAGTACATTCACATGAAAATTTATTCTTATTGTTTTCACCTCCTCGATTCCTCCTACGTTTTTTATTGCAATGCCTACAAACATTGCCGGCTATTGATTTACGTTTTCGTTTTGTTCCAGAATTATCAGAAATATTAACAGAGCAATCTGTGTCCATAGAATCCTCATTATTACTAATAATTACATGAAGTAACCGTACCCCCGGGATCATCCGAGGGGTCCATATATTAAAAAGAAATATATACAGAAACTTACCTAGTTTACAGCTACTATTACACAAAACTAATATATACAAATTTAAACTAATATAAATGCTATTTGTAACTTATCTGATCGATATTATAATATAAATAAATAAATAATTCAGAAAAACTCGACAGCCAAATTTTACGTTTCCCGCCCTTTTTCGAGATCCAACAAAAACCAATGCCTGTGTTTAATGAACTCCCTCACTCCCTCATACTTTGCAATACCCCTCATTTCTTAATTGTGGTAGTATTGTAAATTTTGTTACATTACTCTCGTGAAAACATCACAGTATATTCTGTGATACCCATGGTGCTGTTGATGTCTAGAGAAGTCTGTTACTACTTTACATCAGATGGTGGCTTGTTTGCCATCCTGAATTGTACAATAACATAGTGCTAGCTACTCGTATGTATTTTTAAGAATGGACTGAGTACGCCTTGTCCACTCCTTGACTACCTTTAATTATTAGGTGCCCACCACAGATGCGAACAAAGTTTTTAACTATGAGCAAAGATATATCTTACAGTACATTATATATCTTTTTTAAAAGACCAAGCCTCCCCTATAAAATAATCTATACTAATATAATAAAGAGGGAAGATTTGTATATGAAATAACTCAAAACTACTGGACCGACTTATAAAATTCTTTCACTATTAGAATGCTACATTTCCCTAAGTAACATAGGCTATAGATTATTTACGAAAATTTTATCTACCCGTGTGAAGCCGGGTTGAATCACTAGCCTTAAATACGTCAATGTTACTATATCAATATTACTTGTAGTTTTTAAACGAAATGCAAAAAGATTTGCTACCCTTTACGATCATTTATGAATGATCATGTCAACTCGTGGTGAAACCATTTTGGCGCTCTATACATTTGCCTGACCAGTTCTCCATAGAGTCCACCAGTGCAAAAATATCGGTAAGGACAAATATAATTGCCACTGCTTTATTACTAGTAATATATATATATATTTACAAAGGTACCATACGGCTTGCTTGGTAACACAGATATCAAATATAAGATTACCTAAGCCACTCTCTCGCAAACTACTTGCACTTAATATTACGTGTCACTTCTACATTTTTTTTAACAGAAAATGTATACATTACATTGTGACCGTGGCTTTAATCACCTACTTAATTTTATAGTCTATTATAGTAATCTCTTAAGTCAATATTATGTATCCTCTAGTTATTATAAAATAAAAGTCATAACATAAATGATTTCTCATTTCTTTTGTCCATCTTCTATATTTATTGGCCATATTTTGTGTCATTACCTTAAATACCTGCCACTCTACTACTTATTAAAGAATACATTTTATATTAGATGCGGTAGTGTCTCTATATATGTATATAATTTATGTATATATGTTCAAGATATCGTAGTTACACCAATTTTTTTAAAATTCCCGGTCTCAAATTATTTTGCCTTCGCGCCGCTAGATGGCATTGCGTGTACAAAAGTATTTCATCTACTAACAATTCTAAGATGACAAGACTCTATAAAATATAATTAATTTTATATTGTAATATTTGATTCTTTTATTAATAAATAAAATAAATTTTGATAGTATAATAATGAAAATAAAGAACAAGTGAAAGTATTTATTTACCTATATTTTTATTTCGGAACGAACGACAACAACTCCCTAGATCATGGATCGATTGTAATCAAACAAAAGAGCGGCAATTATGAATGCCACCAATCGCGTACCGGCATTCAATTCATTGTCAAAATATTTACTATGAACTTCTGTCAAAATAAATATCATTTACTTCATATCCTGTCCTCCTTCGTTTTAAAACTATTTGAAATAACAGTTTCAACGGTGAAACTCGTTGAGAAAACTTAAAAAGTGATTGCGTCTGCTGAAATATATTTAAAATTCATCAGTCAACTGTGTGCAACAGACGTCCAAAGCGACCGAAATAAAACTTTTGTTCAAAGTTCTTTGTGTGGTGCATCGGTGCATTCCGTTACGAAGCCATGGAAGTCGCAAACAAATGTAAGTATATTTTCCATAATTAATAAGATACCAAATTGTGCAACTTCGTTAAATCCTGTAATCTCAGTAGATATTTGTTTTTATTTTAAATTCAAAACCGCAGTTTTCCGTTTGTTTAACACAAATATCCAAATCAACAAACTTCGTTCAAAATGTTCAAATAAGAAAACTTTGTGCCTATTTGTTACGTACAATAAGTACATTAATTATCATAAAATAAACGTGATTTCTTATTTTAATTTTAAAAACAACATTTGTTAGGTATTTATTATATGTTTATATATTTTTTTTATTATAAAACATTTTGTTATTATTATTTACGTAAATTGCTAGTCAAATAGGATGCCAAAAAATTAATATTTACTAAATTTATTTGTATTTTCTACAAATAATATTTATCTATCTAAATTTTATGGAAATTAATATAATTTTTTTACATATTAATATAACTACTTACCTTTTTTATTTATATTTCAGTTGTAGTGCAATACATTGATAGCATTTTACCAATATTTTTATACAATATTAATTTATTAATATAACAGTGTAATGTTCAGTATACATTGTTATGTGTACTGTATTAAAACTATTAAATTGGTTTAAACTTAACAAATGTGTTCTAATTTTGTTTTTATTTTTATTCTGTGAATAAATAAAAAAAAAAACTTACAAATGTAGATTTTAACAAAGCTATTTAAAATTTTTAAACCCCATCATTTATTTTAATGTACAATATAATATGATACATATATGTAAAAATTTCTTTTTTTTTTTTAAATGTAATTGAAAAATAATCTGTCTAAAGTGCCTTGGTCTTTGTTCACCTCTGGACAGGATTCCCTCATAAACTGTTACAAAGAACCTCCTTGTTTTCCCTTCAACATTTAGATATTCTTTGTGTTCTTGGTCTATTGGCATATTCGGGTTATGATATTATACAAAAAAAAAAATTAAAAAAGTATTTATATTTTTACACTCATTCTCAAGCCACAATTTAACCACTCAGCCAATGATTGCAAAAATACATCTGTGGATATAGATGAGTGCTTAATTAAGTTGAAATTTATTAAAACAAATAAAAAAATATTAAAAAAAAATATATTAAAAAGAAACTAAATAACAACAATAATTAACAGGTCCTCAATCTAAGATAAGCTAGAATAATGTTATGAGAAACCTATAAACATTAGAGGGTTACAATTACAACCCAGCACAGCAAATTTAAAAAAGTTCAAGTCTTAAATTGGCACAATTGAGAATCGAATCTGGAACCTCATTTACACAAAGTAGTATAGCTACTTCAGCACCATGGAAGTTACCTTTATAAAACTTATTCAATGCTATCTTCATTGTTTCATTCATTCACTGTTCAGTGATGAACATAAACCTCTTTTATAGAGTATCTACAATGGCAGGGCCATCTGAGTCTCATAACCATAAACTAGATTTTATTCAAGAGTAGGCAGTCAAGGGAAATTATGTCTCCTTGCTAAAAAAGCTTTTAAAAAAAATATAATGTAAAAATTGTGTGAATTTAATTAGTTTTAAACTATTGTACCAAAATGCAGTAATACTGTATGCTATTTTTATACTGAGTCCTTTAGTTAGAGAGATATTTTAACATTATTTTAAAGTAATTCTTTTGATTGTTTCGAAATAATATCTAATTGTTATCAAAGTCTGATCTAGTGTTTACACAGTTACACACATTATAAATATGCATGATGTAATTACTAAATAAATATATTACAGATTTCCTTTAAGATCTGCCACATCATTAATTTTGCACATAACTTCATAATGGCAAGTCAATTCAAAAATAGAAACAAAAGGGGGGGGGGGGGGGGGGGGAAGACTTGTAAAACAAAATAAGAAAAGGTCACTGAAGTGACTACCTACTTATAGGCACGATATTTATTTATGTATCATCAAAATGACCGTTAAACGAGTTCCAATTTTTAACCGCCATTGCCATGAGAAAGTACTTATTTTTTTGTGGAGGCTTGTGTCATCTTAAACGACGGTTGGAACTCACGAAGACGATGCTAGCGGCGGCACGGTGACTCACTCCTTCCGCGCTACTGTTCTATATTTGAACTTTTAAAAAATAATGCGCCATTTATGGATTATCTGTGGCTATTGTTTACTCTTTGTTTTCAACGGCCGCGAAAAGTATTAACAAGGTTTTGGCGGGTAAATTATGACGTGTTATTAAGTCTATTGTGTATTTAATACTCATTTTGAGTCATGCAATATCTATATACCTGTATATATTTTAAAATACGTAACGTTGTATACACGAATATGTGTAGGTAATGTTATTTCCGTGTGATAATAGACTAAGAGTTTGTTATAATTTTTTTTATCACTACAATGTCGCGAGAGGTGACTAGGCTACGGGAAAAAAGCATACCAGTGCAGTAACATTATGAAAATATTAAGATTTCTCTTAGTAAGAGTTTTACTTGGTCTCAGTGATATTGGATCTAATGTAATGCTTCTTTTATTAATTTCATCATTTATTTGGTACGAATCTGAAAATCGTATACAGCGCTAATATTAATCTGATTTGTTTACCTTTTATTATCATTTACTAACTGTATCCCACGTCTTCGCCCGCGGTCGTATTATAATGTAGAATATAGACTATCATCTTCCTCAAGAAGATGAGTTCAAACGCAAAAATAATTTTTCAAATACCCAACCAGGTCGACCTCCTCGCGGTTCTCCCTGGAAACTATCATGGTTAATTCCTAATGAATTCATCATCATTCAACTGGCCTGTTTTCATTCTCATCTATCACCCTTCACTGGTGCTCCGCCAGCGTATCCCGTTAGCGCAGGCGGGGTTACCATACCATTTTCACCTATCAAAAAAAAAAAAAACATTGTATACATTTTATAAGCGGTAACATAATGCCTAGATACGTCACACTTGGATGATAACAGCAATAATATTACCAATCCATCTATCCTTTGTTTGTGCTTAATAGAGCATTTTATTATCAAGTTATCACTGTACATGTTTATTTATTGTCTTGAGATAATGTTCACAATAACATATCGTATATATATGAAGTTATTTTTTTTTAATAGATGTAAATGGAATGGTATCCCCACCCACGCTATCGGTATACACCGGCGGGGCACCAGTGAAGGATGATAGGTGAGAATGAATGCATGTCAGTTGGCCATGATGAATTCGACAAGAATTAACCATGATGGTTTACAAGGGGAACCGCGTGGAGGTCGACCTGATAGGGTCAATTGCTAGCAACGGGGCTATTAGACCTCATTACTGACAATCCCTTTCCCCCCTGAAGTTATATATTCTAATCCCATCAAAAACAACGTCATCATAATATCAGCCGTTAACTGTCCACTGCTGAATATAGGCTCCCCCGTAAGGGGGATTTTGCCAGTTGTTGCCACGCTTGGCAGGTAGATTGACAATTACAGTTAGTCTTTTGGTGTTGTTTTAATAGAGACGTTGCTGCCTATCACTCGATTATCAAGCTCCCTTAATTGCCTCTTACGACAGCCATGGGAGAGGAAGGGGTGGCTTATTCTGTCCTGGAGCACACTTTGTTGGTGCGACACACTTTATTTCTATAATAATTATAATGAAAAATTTTCACAATACTGTACACCGCTCTACTCGCTGATATTGATGCTCCTTTCCACTTTGTGTTTGCTGGAACAGAACTCTTTTAGAGTTAAGCTCGCCTTTGTACATTTGATTTGCCTCTGTCATATTTTTATGTATTATTAGTGCGTACAATAAAGTATTAAATAAATAAATAAATAATGACATGAAAATTGCACGACAACATAAAAAATAAATAAAATACTTTATTCTTCAGTGCATATTTGCTGTCATCGTTCGTGATGTCACGTATGGGCACCACAGAATATCAGCGCTGTAGCAATTAAATTGCTGCAGCACATGCTGAGTGGTGGCCACGTTGGCAATAACAAATGTAAAGTTTTTTATTTTATTTGATAAGTTTATCTAAATTTTTTGCTGTTGGCAATAAATGTTTTCTTTCTTTCTTTCTTTCATTTACATAGTAATAGAAATAGTAGATTTTGTATCTGATTATTGTATAATTGTGGTGCGAAAATGATGGTACGGTTATGCTCGAGTCGGCGGGGCACTGCCGTGCTCCCTGATACCTTTATACCTAGCTAAGTAGGTACGTATTGCTAAGAGATCGATCACTTTTTTATGACCATGACCTTTCGTTGGATGATCAATACATCTGTTTCCAGTTGTTTTGCTAACGTATCCTTACTTATGTATTATGTATTTATAAGTGTGTATTATGTATATACAGTATGTGTATTATATTTTATATATTTATAATGTTTACAATATGATAATAAAAAAAAAGGATATGAACTATAAAATGTTTGGACCCTTGGAACGCTAAATAACTCTTTTATTGGCCACTTTGAAAAACCTTTTCATAACTTTTATAAAGAACCCCATACTGCAGACCGAACGACAGATTTCGCTGATTCTCACTATGTGCGATTATTTACTATCCAGGGTATGACAATGAACTCACAATAGCAACAATTATTTATCCACTACTGATCATATCTGATAGGCTTACCCCATAAATTGGGGGGTTTTGCTAATAGTTGTCACGCTTGGCAGGCGGGTTGGCAACCGCAGTTAGACTTTGGCGATGTTTTGAGAGAGATCCTGCTGCCCATCCCTCGACCTTTAAATCCCCTTGGTCTTTTCCTACGACCCCCACCGAAAAGGAATGGGTAGCTTATCCTATACCGGGACTACACGGCGACATATTCTCAATTTACTCGCGACATCCGAAAATAATATTAAATTATGCAAGACACCGTCTCCAATCTGTTCAAGTTTAATACCCAATTAAGTGTTAGGAATATTAAATTGCCTCTAATAGCTCCCAATCCACAAAGGGATACCTTGATTAAAAGTACAAGAGGCGGTAACGGCGATCGCCTTAAGTGCT